CGGTTGCTCAGCGGGAATTGCCGTTTGCCATGAGGAGACGAGCCATGAGCCACAATGTGAAACGGTATCCGAAGCGACTGAGAACTCCAGCATTGAAAAACACTGTAAGAAATACAGGAAATTCAGAGCAACTGTAGCGTATTGAAAAAAATATACAGTACCGGTATAATGAACACCCTTGATGTGCTACAAGCTGACTATTTCTTGAAATTTTCAACAATAAAAGAAGTGCTCGATCGTTTTGTGGGCTGCGAACAGGAAGATTTGGAAGCACCCCTCATCTATAGTTGTTGAGGTTCTAAAATTGGAAAAAAGGATTGCTCATCTTCGCGTAAATACGATATTTTGAATGAATTGTTGCCCCGGATAATGGACGCATCGCACAATGATCTCAGACTGCTGCCAATTTTTTTTTTTCTCGGGAATATAGAAAACCCTGTGGACTGCACGAAAAAAAAAATGATCGTTTGTGATGAAAAGAAGCTTTAATTGAAGAACTTCAATTTTCCTATTTGATAAATTGTGTTTTTGATCCGTTTTTATCCTTGATCCTCAGCATTTTTCGTGTTGATATGAAATCAATCAAAGAATTTGCAAAGGAATTCGAAGAAAGATTTCGCGTTTTCGATTTTGCTCGAATCAGCAGCTTGGCAAAAATAAAGAATAACAATTACTTTAAAATATTTTTTGTGAAAATCCATTCGTGACCAAAGAAGCAGCGCTTCTTACGCCGGTATCTCTTTAATTGCTGTGATGATTTCGCAGGTTTCGATGGCGTTCTTTGGGTTCGCTGGCTCATTTTTCATGGCCGTAGCTCGGAAGTTGTTTCACTTCCTTAAGCTCTTCTCCGTTTCCTTCTCAAATACCGAGCTTTGGGTGCAAACCGTGCGCTTTGCGACGTCTTTGGAGGTGTACACCCCGATGTTCCAGCGGCACTCCAGCTTACTGTTCTAGATGTCCTCAAGAATGTCCCGGTACTTCAGAGCCCTAAGGACGCAGTACCACCAGACATATATTTGACACAACAAAAAACGTAAGCAATTTTTCAAAAGCGTGTCAAACTGTATTTTTTTTTTGCTTTTTTTGTGTGCCAACTTATTCTTTGTTATTTGGGAAGAATTTTTTGGTACAGTACTACACATTTTGTCTATTTCCAGTTTATCTGTTTCCCAGTAAACATTAAAATTGTGTTATGAAAAATATCAGTACTGTACAACAAATTTGTCAGTATAACAAACATTTCCTCTCAAGCAGGCAGAAAGTCTAAGGAGGACATGTTAAAATGATCTTTTTATGTGACTAACTTCCCAATTTCAGTAGAAGAAACTTTGTGAGAAATGCTGAATAGATTCTACAGAAAGAATTTTCTCCATCAAGGCAGACACAGTCTGAAATTTCTGATACCAAATGTGACTGACCAGTTCTTATTGTACCTCGGATGAAAGCTGTAATTAATGACAAAAATGCTTCCAATTGAGGGGTTCCACTCAGATCATTCTCCCAGAATGAAGAGATAGGTGCAATTGATTGAATGCATGATGCAAGCTAATTTTTTCTGAATACTGTATCTCACAAATTTCTAAAACAGTTATTAATACGAAATTTGAAAATGCCGGAAAAGCTTGATCGAATTGATTATAGGCGGCAAGTCTGATGTAAAGATGTTTCCTGTCATTAATTTTGAAAATCAAGTTATGACGAATTATTCAGTGCAATAAATTTTTTCTGAAGTCCTCAAAAGTTTGTTGTAGCAAGATTTTACTGTAGAAGAAAGATTTTTTGTGAAACTTGAAGAAAATTTCAGACTTTATTTCCTCCTCACAGTTGATGATTGCCTACTGTATATTTTTTTCAGTCACAAATTCCGTCATTCAAGTAATTCCCAGCAGTGAATTTAAAATTGCCATTGCGACATTACCTGAATGAAAATCGATTTCTCGGAATAATATGAATAATCAATTTTAATTTTTTTTAATGCAGGATTTGTCATACATGGTGTGCATGGAATTGAGGGGCCCAAGAGGCCGACTGGAGGCCCAACTAGAAAGCGTTTTTCTTAACCAATCCGTGAATGACTGTAAAGGGAAAGAAGTCGTCTACCACCTTTTTTCCGAGGATGGACGCTTGATCTCGCCTGTGAATTTGTTGAAAAATTGTCACGAAGACGACGACTCCTACTGGCTCTGGACTCACCCGACTTCTCACGAGCAAGTGCTGGAAAGACTCAAACGTGTCTTTAATCTCGACGAGGACAAGGTTCCCTCAACCGAGCCCGAGACGGATGAAGAAAGCCGAGGGAAACTTTCCAAGGACCGGGTCAAGTTGAAGAAGCTTGTGTCGCAACCCGTTTTCGCGAACCCGGAGACTGGGATCGAGATTCGAGTTCTCAAGGACAACCTGAACCGCTTTCGCTTTATCGGCGGTGGATGTTCGAGTGTGTTTCAGCGAGTTTTGCAGCCTGTCGCGAGTCTGGGTGATTGTGAATGGATGCTTGATGCCGGTGGACGAGATGATAAGCAACCGAACGGAGACGTTGTTCGAGCCCTCGAAGAGAAGACGGCTGTGTCACTCGTTGTTCGGGACCCACGTGTTCTTCTTCTTCCGCAAACCAAAAAGACGCCCGTTATCGTGAGTTGACTTGAAGGAATTGATATTGTCGAATCATTTGTTTCCCTCTCTCTCTCTCTTGTGTCTTGAACGAATTTTTTGTAGTTGTGTGTCCTACTCGACTATGATTTTAATTTTTTAGCGTAGATGTCGCTGCTTGGAATTTGATCTTACAGTATTTGGTATTTCAGTTACGTTCTTGTCTTGAATATTGATTTAAAATCCATTTGCTGGCCAGTTATGTGGTGTCTCTAGTCATGTTTTTTTTATATTGGCATGGTTTGTTTGGAATTGGTCTCATTCGCGGGCACCCTAGATAACGTGCCCCCGTACAACGTGCCGCCCCTCCCCCCGCGCTAGGCGGTCCGCCTCCCTCTCTTTCCTTGGGACGCACCCAGTCTTTCCTTGGGTGACTTGCTGGCGGGCGGGTGCCTCGCTGGTTTTTCCTTGCATGAAAATATGCATATGCAATAAAATATTTAAAGCATTACAATATACCTAGGTTTAAAACTGACATAACCTAACCTTACAACCTAACCTAACAACCTAACCTAACCTAACCTAACCTAACAACCTAACCTAACCTAACCTAACCTAATTTAACCAAACCTAACCTAATTTAACCTAACCTAACCTTATGTAACCTAACCTAACCTTATGTAACCTAACCTAACCTAATTTAACCTAACCTAACATTAACCTAACCGAACCTAATTTAACCTAACTGAACCTAATTTAACCTAACCTAACCTAATTTAACCTAACCTAACCTAATTTAACGTAATTTAACCTAACCTAACCTAACCTAACCTAATTTAACCTAACCTAATTTAACCTACCTAATTTAACCTAACCTAACCTAATTTAAATATTGTAATGCTTGAAATATTTTAATTCATATATATTTTTAAATATGCATATTTTAATGCAAGAAAAAACCAGGGAGGCACCCGCCTCCCCGCGAGTCACCCAAGGAAAGACCAGGTGCATTGGCGGGGGCAGACCGCCAAGCGCGGGAGGCGGACTGCCTAGTGCAGGGGGCGGGGCGGCACATTGTACTGGGGCACGTTATCCAGCGTGCCCCTCATTCGCTTTTCATGTCACCAGGTTACTGATTCGGGCGACATCTGCTTGAAATTTCGTTGTGAAAAGAATGATTAACTCTGCAAATGGAAATGCATTATTTTTTGTTTAGTACAGTAAAATCTTGTTGCTTCAGCAAACTCTTGGGGACTTCAGAAAATGTTGGTTATACTGAATTATTTGTTCTATCAGGAATTTTTTTAAATTAATGACTGGGAAACATTTTTACAACAGTCCTGCCCAAAATGATTTGGATCTTGTTTTTCTGGCATTCTCTGATTTTTTTATTATCGCTTGAAAAACTGATTAATCTTTGGAATTGTAAAAATAGCTTTGAACCTGCATTCTGTCAGTTGAAACAGTCTTCATTCTGGGTTAATGTGAGTGAAACCACTTGGAACCATGATTTGTCATTGATTACAAATTCTATCAATTGCTACAATTTGAGTTATTCATTCACATTTGGGATTGGAATGTTGAGAATGTGTCTGCTTTAGTCAGGAAATTTCCTCCTGAAGAATCTATTGAATAGTCTTCCAAAAATTGTAATTTATACTGGAATTGACGAGTTAGTCATGTAAAAAGATTGTTCTAACATATACTCTGTTGACTTTCTGCCAGGACTTGAGGGAAAAAATGTGTTGTAGTGGCACTTAATTTATATTTTGCTGCTGTACACAGTATTTTTTGTAAACGCAGGCGAAACCGGAAGAATCACGGATGTCGAATGCTGATGATGATGCCAAGCGAGAGAACTGGTGGCCGCTCTGGAGTCGATCCGTTCGCCATTTCGTGTCCTCGCACAAAATGCCGGATCACGAAATCAACTCTGCGAGGAAAGCGCATCACGAATCCTACGCGAAACCCGAGGATTTCTCCCTGGGCCCCGACGAAGCCCGGGTCCCAGTCCTGTTGATCCCTCAGCAACAGCAACAGCAACCCAAACGATCCTCGCGCATTTCCGCCAAAGAATCGGCAGCTCATGATGCCACGACGGCTGACCTCGTTTTGCCTGCGTGTTGGGGCATGAGCTTTTGGATCCCGTTCGTGTTCCGCTGCGTGAAGCCCGTGACTCTGAAGGAGCTCGAGTCGCACGCTTTCGAGTCGTCCACGCTCGTGTTCCCCAAGCACTTTCCCGACACGGAAGCCGGACGAGTTTCCGCGCAGGTCGAGCAGCAGAGGAAGAAGGACGTGCACTTTGCCCACCCGCCGGTGCACAGGCCCAACTACATCAAACTCGGGGCCAGGTGGCCCTTTGGACCGGATTACGCGGACGTTTTGCACCGGTGTGTTCCGGGCATCAGTGCGGAGTCGGCCGAGGGCTTTTTCGTGCTCAGAGCAGAGGAGAAGCTTTGCTGGCTGAGGGACATTTGTCAAAGTCAAACGAGGACCCCGTTTGATTTTTGGCGAGATGACGAGGAGAACCGGGGTGATGATGTTTTTCAAGTCAAGTTGGGGAATGGGCAACTTTTGCAGTTTGCGAGAAATTCTCTGGTTTGGGTGCATCTCTTGTGCGAGTGAGTCACTTTTATTCTTGTTCTTTAGCTTTAATGAATGTCTGAACTTTTTTTTTGTTGTTGTAACGAATTTACAGGAAATTTAAGAATTTTCGCGGAATTTGAAAGAATTCAAAACAAATTTTGGAAGAATTTAAAAGGAATTTTGAAGTGTATTTATAGGAAATTTGAAAGAATATACCAGAAAATTGAAGGAATTTGCAGGAAATTGAAAATAATTAACAAGAAGTGTCGGATAATTTACAAGAAAATTTGAAATATTTTACGAGAAATCTAAAATATTTTACTAGGAATTTCGATAATTAAAAAAATTTAAATATTTCACAAAAAATCTAAAATATTTTTCAAGAAATGTAAATAATTTACAAAGAATTCAAAAGGATGTACAGTAAAAGGTATTCTAGAGAATTCAGAAAAAATTCAAAGAAATTCAAAAGAAATATAAAAGATATTTGATTTAATTTTCAGCATAATTTACAAGAAATTCAAAATTTTCAAAAGCGGTCGTTGTATATAAAGTAAAAACCAATCTAAATGGTGGAATATGCGTGAATTCATGAAAAAGCATTATTTTTCTGAATGTGGGAGTGAAATAGATTTCACTCTAGGTGCATAAGTGAAATCTATTCCTCTCGTTTTTATTTCATTTGTCATATGTTCAGGTTTGGAGGGAAACCCGTGGATTCTGCCATGATTTGCGCGCCCACCAAAGAAGACCTGGACCTTCAAGACTTTCGAAACTTGTGCCTCAAGGAACCCGCGCATCCGGATCCGCATGAATCGACTCGTCGCAGTCTGCGAGCCGAACACCGCCGTCTGTTGGAATCCCAGCACCGGAAGAGAACCCGAGACCGGAAGGGGAACCCCGACGCCAAGATTCCCTGTCCGAAACCCGAGGATCACCTGGACTTTGCTGCTCTCATGCGCGACAAGGAAGTGTTGCAAGTGACTGACGAGTGCGAGAATGCGAGGCTCGTCATCGGCTTGGTGGAGAAGGGCGACTCTTCCTTGTCTTGGGCACTCGGAAAGGGCCTGGGATTGTGTTCAGTGTGGAGTCTGTTGCACGTCCTGCGGGATCAACAGCAACAACAACCAGTGAATGGTGCTGCTCATGATGATGATGATGATGAGACGAAACCCATTGTTGTGCTTGTGAGGAACCCGAGTTCCCTGCAGTACTATGTTGCCAGGCTGGAAATTCTCTGAGATGCAGGACCTTGTCGTGGCTTTTCTTTCTTTCCTTTTTTGGGCGATAAATGAGAGAGAGGGAGAGAAAAGTTATCTTTTCACGAGTTCAACGGCGTGGAATTTGAATTTCTTGAGTTCGTGTGCATGGTCTGGAAAGTTAATTTGCAATTAGATACAGATTAAAGCTCTGTAAGTAGAATTTCAAGTGACCAGCAGAAAGAAAATCCAACTTGGGTGAAATCAAGCATTTTTCTTGAGGGAAAGAACGAAAGAATAATTGAGGGAAATTGTAATTGGGCCTTGCAGTGCTTCTTGAATAATTTGAAACAATGCTGAACTTGGAGGAAAGGGATTTTTTCACTTCCTTTTAAAATACATCAAGTTATATTTGTGATATTTTTCTCTTTATTTTGTATAGGAAATAATAGCCAAAATGCCTCCAGAAAATTATACTTATGGGGGTTTGAAAGGGGGGAAAGCCTTTGAGTTGAAGAGGTTCTGAATGCATTGTTTCCAAGGGAATTTAGACAGGTACATGAAAGAGTTTTGAAATTCAAGTTGGCAAGGTTCAATTTCAAATTGTAACCTGTTTTTCAGGTGCAGTAGTTTTACTGTAGTACAGTACATTCCCTTGTCCAAGACTTGAAACTCGCCAAAAGTTATTCTTTGTCTGCTGCACATTAGGGAACGTTTACGAGTTATTTTACAGAAATTTGGATGTTGATGTGAAGATGTATCATTATTATGTTTTTCTTATTTAATGCAGGACGACTTTTTGTGATGAATAAGTGATTTTTTTTTCTCGAAAAGTCTGCTGAAAAATGGCAAACTGGAGGAATAATGATGATGATGACCTGTATTTCGCCGAGGATGACGAAGTGATGTTTATTCCGCTGGGGAATACAAAAAGTTCTGCTCCCTGGATTCCAGCTAGTTCTGGTTTGTCTCGAGTTGGGATCCTTGGGTAAGCAAGTTTTTTTTTTTTTTTTACTGTGTTTTTCAAATGTTCATGGGCTTTCTAGGTAGAAAAGGAAAATGGAATTCTAGCTGTTTGAAAACTACCTGAATTTTTTCATCTGATTCATGTGTGATATGCCAGAAAAAATAGCTTAATAGCTGAAAACAAAATATGTTCCCCTGGTAAGAATGGAAAGAAGTTGATGCGTTTTCTTCATTTGAAGACTTTTTATTGTCAAGTTTTATGGAGGTACCAGAGTCGAATTCCATCAATTCTGGCTTTGATTATTTTCAATAATTCTTTTTTTTTCATTATCTTCGAAAATTGGGATATTGTGTCCATACAGTACTATACATTATTTTGCTCTTCTTTTTTTTGTTTTGTTTGGCAGACTCCACGAGGAGCTCGTTTTGTTGTCAGAGTGGCTGGTGCCGACCCGTGCCGAAAAGTACGTCAACGAGTACTTGGCGACGGAGTTGTGGCGGATTGCGCGGAAGCAGTGGCCCGGGGTGACCATGGAGTTGATTGGGTCCTCCAGCACCGGCCTGCGGTTGCCGGCCAGTGACATAGATGTCGTCATGTTCGGCGGGTGGAGGATCGAGCCCCTCAAGACGCTGGAGATCATGCTGAATGACGCGGGGTTCGCGGATCCTGCGCATACCATTGCTGTTGAAACTGCGAGGGTCGGTTGATTCTTAATTGTCTTTTTTTTTGGGATGATTTGACTGCTGAGGGACATTTGGAAATTTATGAAGCATCTGGATGATGTATGGACACTTTTCCACCACTTGTAGAACGATTGAAAATTTTATTTTTTATAAATTCTGGTTGTCTCCTGAACAAATTGAGGTATTCATGTTCACAAAAAACTGAATAAATTTCATTGCAAAATTACTCTGATTCATAATGAAAAACAGGATAATCCTGTGCTTCTTTTTTAGAATTTCTTCCCATCATGTTTGTGCAGTAGAACTAGACTTGTTCTTTTGAGCTCATGGTATTTTGGCAGAAGATCAGATTATGAGTGGTTTTCTTGTGCACAGTTATTTTGTTTAACTTGATGAACAAATTTAATTCACCTTATTGGGGACCATCAACAGAAGAACCAATTGAATGTTTCTGCTGAAGATGATGGGGAAATGAGAATTTATATACGGACAAGGATGTCAAAGCAGCAATTCTGTCCACATTTCTGGGCATCACCGTATTTGGTTGTTTTCTTTGTTTTATCAATTCTAAAGCAATTCAAGTGTAGACACAAATGTTTGAGTAATGTAGCAGTTGCGGAATGATGACACACTTCTTTTTTTTTTCTCTCGATTTCTATTCTATTTCATCAGGTGCCGGTTTTGAAGGTGACGCACTTAATGTCGAGGAGCAAATTGGACATTTCCTTCAACCAGATAGATGGCGTATCCACATCGGAAATCCTGGCCAGATTCAAGCGGAAGTTCCCCAAGTTTCCCCTGCTGTACATGGTGTTGAAGAGACTCGTTTCTAGACGGGGCCTGAATGAAGTCTACACTGGTGGGATCTCGTCCTTCAGCATGGCCCTGCTGGTGGTGTTCTTCTTGCAGGTTTCTATATGCACTGTTGTGACAATTATTTTTATTTTTTGAATGCCTTTTTCATGCAGGTCGACTCTGTTCCTCTACTGTAAATTTAATTTTGTTCCATAAGGGTTCTCTCCCCAAATTATAGGGGCTTTTCTAGAAAAAAAAATTTCCTGGTCTCTCGAATTTCTGTATGTAAAGAGATCACTTTTTAATTACCATATTCACTCAAGTACCACATGCTCCTGAATTTTTCAGCCAACTGTTTGGAAGAGACTGAAAATCAAAAAATTTGAAAACAAAATTCATCAGAATTTAAATTTCGACTCCAGTTCTAGTCAAATTGGATTTTGCTTTTCCATTTTAAAATCAGTGAAGAATTCTGTGTTGAAAACAAATATAATGATTTGTATCAAGGTTTTTTTTAATGTCAAAAGTAAATACAGTGCATGAGTGTGGAGTTTTTTGTTGTTCATCGAACGGGTTCTCATCTTCCTTTTGCCCCTTCGCATTCAGTAAGGAATTTTTTCCAGTTGACTTAATTTGATGTTTTCAGCAACAAAGGACTGCTCAGGTGCCGGAAAGAAAAAACCTCGGGGTCTTGTTGCTGGAGATGTTTGAGTACTTCGCGCACAAGTTTGACTTTCGCAAGTACGGGATCGACGCTCTGACTGGAGAGTTGGTCAGGAAGCAGGTTTGGCAATGCTTTATTTTTTTGGCAAAGAAATCGAAGACAGAAATCAATGTCCATCTGTGTTTGTTAGATACCCAGTGGCGTGCTGTACATCGTGAATCCTATCAAACCCAATGAAAACATCGCCTCTGCGACGAATTCCTTTCCAATTTTGTTGGGCTCTTTCAAGTGGATTTTTGCGGAACTGCATACTTCTGTGTTGCGTGGCAACAATGGAGGAATTCAGCAAGGGTGAGATTTACTTTCACAACGAGGATACAGTAGTTTATGAAGCTGGAGTTCATTCGACTCTTGGCTGGTGAATTTCATTATTGAAATACAGGCACTTTTTATTTGGTGCAGACGAGAATATTGAATGGAACAAGTTGCAATTTCCGAGAAAATGAAATTCTGTCGAGGAAAAAACTCTTTTTGATACCAATTCCAAAGATGAAAATTCTCACACAAATTTGGTCTTTTCAGGATTCTGGGCAAGCTGTTGGGTTTCACGGAAGAGGAGCTCAAAGGAAGGGAATTGCATGAGAGGTTGTTTTGCAGACGAGTGTTCGGACCTGTGTAATGACTAATTTACCGCGTCTTTACGTTTTCGGAGAATTATTTGTTCATTATTCATGATTAAATTTTTTTTCTTGATGAAAGTCAAATTTTTGACTATGAAATTGTTGTTTCTTTTCTTGGAATTTTAAGGTAGGTGAGTATTCATTCCTTGAGAAGAAATTAAATTCCATAGGTTTTTCGATTGAGGAATGAGCACAAAATCGTATGTTTCTCTTCTTTATCCTGATAATGTGAAAAATAACTGCTTTAGTCCCTTCTTGTTTATTTGTGGACTGGGTAACTTCACGGTTGTGCAAATCTTGAAGCAGACATGGCTGACAATTCGTAAGAAACTTTTCTTCCTTGAGCCCAAGTGGCCAAGATTTTTCCGATAACAGGTCCCAGTTTGAATCCGGTGCCTGCGGAAGCAATACTGTACTGTAATAACCTGCGTTGAAATTGGAATGATTGATGAAATTACCAACCAGAAAATCCGCATCCGAAAATGACGTTTTCGTGCTTGGGATGTTTATCCAAAATGCAAATTTCGTCCGGAGTCACCTGTCAAAGGAAAGTTTGAGTCTTCAGTCTTTCCGACACTCTTGGGACGATACAGCCAGCCAATTTCATGAGGATTCCATTATTTTTTTACCGTGTACATGCAGGTTTCCACGATTTTCGGAGTTGGATCCAGAGCCTGGCAAGTTTCAGCCACAAATTCTCGCAGCTTCTTTAGTTCACCTTCCGCATCAACAGCGTCTCTGGCATCCGGATTGATTGCTGGCCCTTGATGAGGGCCAAACTGACACATAAAGATAAATACAGTGCAGTTGAACATCTGTGAGTCGAATTTCTAGGGACGAGGAAAAAAATTTGACTCAGGGAGGTTTTGAATTAAGGAAAAAATAATTCTTGCTGTGAGGATTAGTAAAAAAAAAACTGCAGGACATTGTAAATGAAGAGATTCTGGGCCTAAACTTGCCTCTTGATGAGTTTTTTACTTTGCTGAACTTGGAGGCAGGGGTTCATTTGCAATATTTATCTTTCAATTCTTTCCAAGATACATCAAATTATTTGTTGTAATCATTTTCTCTCTCATATTTCACAGAAATAATAACCAGAAGGCCTCAGAAAATTCGACTTACAGAGGTTTTAGAAAAAAAGAATTTGAGTTAAGGAGGTTCTTAATGCATTGATTTTAAGGGAATTTGGACAGGGACTTGAAAAAAAATTTCGACTTAGGGAGGAATTTGACTTATCAAGGTTTAACTGTACTCTCAAAATTCGAGAGAATCATTACTTGGAAACCACGAAAGATTTTTGAGAAACCCAAAATGACGTACCTTGACAAGTCCTGGGTACTCAATGCTGGGAATGGACCAGTTGCAATTGTACTTGCTGGACTCGTGGATCTGGGACAAGTGCGGATGCTTCTGTCCGGGCTTCTCTTGGAAGTAAGCCACTTGTATCTTCACTGGCTGGGGGAGAAGAACAAAATACAAATGTTATATACATATCATTTTTCATGCTGTGCAAAAAAGTTCTTCTTGAATGGGTACGACCACATCACTTGAGGATGTACCAACGCATTTTTTGTAAACATGTTTCACACACTGAAGCATAAAGGCATAATTTCAAGAAAAAAATGGAATCATTTGAAAAAATATACAGTATATGGAAAACCATGGAAATGTGATAGTCTCCCCCTGTATATGTAATTGAAATCCACAAGCAAGAAGAGTATGATGAAGATGCTTTTACCTGTGTTGAAACAATACAAGACTCACCTGCAAAGGAAGTGTTCCCACACCAGCCATCTCCAGAAAAGGTTTTGCCCAAGCCCCTGCACAGATCACCAGCGTCTTGGCATGGAATTTCTGGCTTTGGCCCTGGGTCTCCACTGCAACATCTTCATTTCCATCCACCTGGATTCCCTGGACTTCCATGCCATCCTTGATGACTCCTCCATGTTGACATATCCATGTCTGTAGTGAAGCTATATGCTTAGTTCAGCCAGGGCACAGCACAGTACAGTACAGTACTCTTTTTGATGAATGTGGGGTGGTTCTAACAAAAGTTATACCCTTAATAAAGAAGTGATCTTGTCAGCCATCAAGACATAAGCACTGTTGTCCAGCATAGCAGACGCACAGATTTCTGAGGGAAAGGTGAGCTGAGGAAACTCTTGAGAGATACTGGTGACAGCTGGGTCCTCGAAGACTCTGACCCTGGCCTGAGGGCATAGGTTCTTGATGTTTGCCAGTGCATGTGTCATCTCATGCTCATTTTTAGCATCTGCTGTCCAAAGCAGAGGAGTTTCTCTGGAATTTTGGAAATATTATTTACCACAGCTCATTTCTTAATTGTATCCATCATCAGGTAGTTTGATCCTGCAGCAAATAAAACATTGATACAGTTTCATAAATGAAGGTTTCTCTTGATTGACCTAAATTTAAGAAGTTCATGCTGCATATGGATACAACAATGCGGCCATGATGTGCAGATATCCTGACAGACAATTCCACCTTATAGGGACCACTTGATTACTTCAAATATTTGCCACAATGTCTTCACCAACACGTCTAGCCAACTTGAAAAAAGTTTACTTTTCAACATTTTGATGCCTCTTGAACAAATTGAGCTTATTCACTTACAAATTTAATAATAGTTTTCATTAATTCACAATACTGTAATTCATAATGCAAAAAGTGCTTATTTTGCGCTTCATTTTCAGAGTCCTTTCCATCATCTGTGCATAGTCGGTATAGAAAGACTTCTAGTGTTTGTTCTATGATTTTTGGCTCCTTTTCATACCAAAAGATCAGATTACGCATGAATTTCTTCTGCACTGTTATTTTCTGCCTCTTGAAGCTGAGGAAAATAATTTTATAACATTTATTATGGGTGGCTTTTTTCTGATTCTTGATTAAATGGAGAACCAATCAAATATATTGCCATTGAAGTTACAGGAAAATAGGATCTCACATGTGGACATTCCTACATACAGAGAAGGTACAAGCACCAATTACATGCACATCTCAGGGCCCCACTAATTAGTTTTTTTTTTCAATGTATGAATCATGATTTTCAATATCTCAAATCATTTCCTCCACAAAATTTGACAACAGATGGGGTTTTCCAGTTCTGATGCAGCAAAATATGCTTCATTTCAACACTTCGGCAACGAAATAAGGTCTTTGCATGCACAAACTTGAGCCTTGGTCAATTAAGAAAAAATTATTTCGAGGTATACTAACAGCCCTTAATGAATGCATGAATAATGGTATTTTTCGCATACAATTGAGAATAAATATGGTCACCTGATGATCTGTTGACCAGACTCCTGTTGTAACCAGAACCAGTCTTGCAAAGAATCCCTCGCCAAAATGGTCTGATGGTCCTGAGGGTACCCAAACCTGCAGATTCTCGTGGCCCCGTGCGAGCTTCCTCTTGTGTGCGGAAGTGGAAACTGTTTCATTCCCACGAGAAATAAATTTTTTTTTTCTCGCCTTTCAATTTTTAGAAGTCGTGTATTTCTAATTAAAAAAAAAAAAAAAAACACTGACCTTTTCCAAGAGAAGCACCTTCTCAACACCCGCCCTCAGGAGCTGCACTGCTGTCCAGCTTCCCATGATGCCTCCACCAATCACGATTGTGTCCCACTTGTTCGAGTCAGACATCTTTCTTCCTCTGTTTCAAGCGTCTATCTGGATGAAAAAGATTATTTTGCTCACATAAACAGCTTTTCCCGCGTTGAAATACAGAATAAAACTCCAAGTTTTGTAACACTGCGAATGGAAACTTGTTTGATGCAATGAACAGAAACACGCTGTGGGTTTCAGTCTCCCACCATCTTATTACACTGGTTGGTATGTATCTGAACTCTGGAAAACAAGGTCCACGACTTGTTTATCATCTGAACGCATTAATATTTACAAGTTGCGGCGGGTGTGTCTGTGACACGGCACCGAATAAATTACCTTGGTGGGTTCACCAGAAAGTAATGCACAACACATTTCTATGCTTCACTTTCTAGGACACTCCCACTGCATAAATAAACCAGGATTTCTTTCTACAAATGGATTTTCTTTTCTTTTCGCAATTGTACAACAGTTGTACTGCATTCAGCATTGTTGACCATAGTACTGTACTAATCAGTTCATAGACAAGAGCAGTGCTGCCCAACTCAGATGTGGCCTAGGGCCACATTCATACATTTGTTGTGCCCAACAACAAGATTGCAGAGGTGGGCCAAAATAGACAATACTTTTCTGGGTTCTAGAATTCTTCCTTTTAGAAAGTTTCAAATTCAATTCAGTGCATTGCATTGAATCATACAAATAGCCATACTGAGTGTTTTAAGGGTATAGCATTACAAGTTTTGAATTTTCAAATACAGATGGTGCCCCACAATTCAACCCTGATCCATTGCTGGTCTAGAGTCAAATTGCCAGACAACATCAAATGCAATGTTTCCCACATCATATTCAACATCTTGCATCTCTATCTGGGTTGAATTGAGGGGCAGAGGTGAAATTGCAAGTTGACCTCTCAAGTTGAAATTGTGAGGTACATCCTCAACATACATATTGAATTGTGGTGGCTGTCCCCTTCACAATTCTAAGGAAGGGACAGATGAAGAGTATCTGCAGGCCAGATCTGGCCCATGGGCCATACTTAGAGAAGAACCAGACATAGGCTTCAAACCTTCATTCATACAGCACATTTCCAAAAGTCTGGAATCATAACTTGCACATCCACCTGCATCCCAATGAATGAAAAAAAAAACATCATGAGCATAATGCTGGTATCAAATTACAGGATAAACTCACCAAGAATATTCAACTTCTGCACTTCATGGAGAAACATCGCTCTGCTGGTCCTCTAAAAAAATAAAAACGACGTAGAACCTTGCAAGTCTTGACCCTGGACCTGAACAACTTGTCAAACAAACAAAAAAAAGAGACATAGAAAAAACTATTAAAATGCAGCATCCCAATAATTGGCTCATATTTTTTCCTCGCTTTTCTCAAGAAGAATATGAAAAGAAAAACCCCAAGAAGAATTCTCGTATCACGAACACTATAAATTTTAGTCGGGCCATCATCAACACCTGTTTTGATTAACGCGCAACTGTATCTGGAATTCACGATTTCACTTGGTTTCACCACATTCAATAGTCAAAACGAACCGCGCATCAACTTCTCTCTCTCTCTTCCGTTTACAATCCAAAAACAAAAAGCCAATGCTCGGCAAGTTGAGACTGAATTTCTCAGCAAAAATGGTAAACTCAGGTCCAGATAAAACATCAGACCACCACATTTCACATTTCTTAAATTGACATGTGCCAGCGTGCGACAAGTTTTACCTTCAAAACACAAAACAAAAAAAAGCACAGTTTCTCATCCCCGTTTCCTAAACCCATTTCCTGGGGGTCGACGAATTTTAAGGATGGGTCCACCTCCCTTTGGCATACCAGTACAATTCTGCGTGTGAATGAATGAAAATTACTGAGCAGTCAAATCTACATTCCAAACATGATTCGAGAGACAGACGCCGTAAAAGAGGTATCACAAATGAACAGGAAATGAGTAGGACTCGTGGCGGCACACTACTCAAAACTGGCAGGGCGGCAATCATCTCGACAATGCCTGAGGAATAATGCAAAATATAAAATGAAAATATTACATCAATAACAATTCGCATACAAAAATTAGTGAACATCAACTGGAATATTTTCTTCGTGAAAGTACGCAGGATTTTGCGACCTGAAGTTCGTTCACAGCTTGAAATCATAGCGCGTTGCAACTGTCTTCTTTTTTTTAAGCTTCTCGATATGGAAGGCATCCAACTTTGTCGAAACGGAAGAACATACGATCCGCACAGCTCATAAACGTTAGCAGCAAGCAAATTAAACATTACGAGTACAGTACAGCAACAACAACAAAATAAAATAAATAAAACCAAAATGTTGCCATGACGCAAAAAAAAATTATCATTATAAATCCAAAGAGTCAGACTAATAAAAAAAAAAAGGTTTCTCACTAGCTCAACAACTATAATTTCCGACGACGCCAGGAAAACAAAACGAAACAAAAAACGTCATCATTCCTGTTCGGGTTCCCTCAAGAGGAAAACGTTCATATCGTTCTTCCCTTTGACAAAGACGGTCCCTCGACGGTCAAACTCGTAAAACTTGTCCATGACGTCCTTGGTTTTCTCTGAGCACTGGATCCTCCCGTTCACGCCGGTCGAGTCCATTCGACTCGCAATATTCACCGTGTCGCCCCAAATGTCAAAGTACAACTTGGTCGTGCCGATGACGCCAGCTGTCACTTCGCCGTGGTTGAAGCCGATCCTTAAAATGAGATTAAACTCCAGCAGGTCCTTGTTGAACTCTCGCACTGCCCGCATCAGCTGAATGGCAAACTCCATCAACTCCGTCAGGTGCTGTCGAGGATTCCCATTCTGACGACGGATCTCGACGTTCAGGCCCGACGCAGCCATGTAAGTGCTTCCAATCGTCTTGATCTTGTCCACGTTGCAAAACTCGGGCCGGAGCAACAGCTCGTCAAAATCACCAATCAACTCGTTCAGTACTCGCAAGTATTCCTTCCCGCCCTGATACGACTCGTCGTACATTTCCGAGAAATTCACGATCGACGCAAACACGACACCCACGTCTGAGTGGTTCTCCGAATACCTCGCGTCCGTCTTGAGCTTGTCGGCCACGTGACGAGGGATGATGTTGTGCAGGAGCCACTCGGCCTGGTTCTTGATGAGTCGCATCTTGGACTGCTCCTTGTCGGCCAAGAGTCCGCCGTAGAAGTTGAGTCGGAAGCCGATTTCCATCTCGCGATTCAGCAGCAGGTTGAACACCATGACTTCGACCAGCACCAGCCAGATTTCGATGCTAAAACTATGCAAATTCCCGGCACTCAGCGTCAACAGCGTGCTCGGCGTCTCGGGACACACCCCGAGGCGCAACAACACGACGAAAATGATGCCAAACACAGCAGCCATGCAGGCCTTCATGTAGCAATTCAGCTGGGTGAAGTTCAGAAAGTGAACGAGCCCAACGAGCGCCACGTAGCAATAGTAACGCTGGTCATCACAGTTCCGCGAATTGGACAACACTGACACGATGGGCAATGCGATCAAAACGGCGCCGAAAGTGTGCCACCACTTCCACTCCACGACTGCCGAGAAGAGACGATCAAACTTGTACCGCAAATGCCGCCGAAAGACGAACCGGCGCAGAAACAGCGCCACGACAAAGGCTTCGTAGTACAGAGCCGCCACGAAAATGACGATCCATTCGGGCGGCGGCACAAAGAGCAGGAAGCAGCACGTGGAAATGATGGCAAACACACAAATGGCAACACTGATGTCCAAACGGGTGTTGAGCCAACGGGAATTCAGCGTTTGCACATTCACGGACGCCGCGTCTTTATCCCGATGCACTGCGTCGCGATACTGGCTCTCAACTTCTTCTTCGACGAAACGTAGAGAGATCTGATGCAAAGGCGGCTCGACAAAGTAGTTTCTGTGCGTGCAATCCTGCTGTACACAATGTATCAGTTGCAAATCAGACTGCTTGCGAAGCTGTTGATAGAACGCGAGCGGGCGTTGAACTTCCAGGTGATCCATCGAGTGATGGTCTCCACGCTTATTGCAGCCTTCAACGTCTTCAACCACTAACATCGGGGGAACACTGTCATCTGCACAAGTGAGAAAAAAAGAAGGAGAGACCGGGTATTGGAAATAATCTCAATCTTGAAGAACAAGACAACAAAATTCAATAATAATTATTGACGAATGACATTTCTTTTCTTTTTTTTAATTAAGACCAAGTGAAGGACATCATTTGTAACAATTGAAAATCCGTAACTCGGACAAAAACGAACATTCCTCGAGGATTTCTCAACCACTTTCTCTCAATTTTCAAACTTTCCAAAAAGCACGTCGTCAAGGACATTTCAATCCTTACAAATCTCATCACATTGGGTTTTCCCAGAGAAAGAAGAAGCAGAACTTACTGTGCCTGAGATCCAAAGTAGACGAGACTGGACTAGCAGTGTAATAGCCTCCACTGGCACGATGATGCATCAGGAGCGCTTCTGATATCACACTTTCCTCAGTGCTTGCCTGCAAATGAATCTCGTGTTTTAGTCTCGAGGAAGAAACGTGTATCAGTGTATGTTTTCACTTCAAAGATTTCAAAATCCAAGACTCGCATTTCTAAAAATAAATTTCCTCTCACATACCGTTTTCATTCATAAGAAAAAAAAACTGAAAAAAAAAATGCAGCTGAACTTCAATAACTCAAGCCTCCCATGTCGAATGTTTTTCAATTCCTAGTTTGACCTCCTTCAGAAACAACTCAATAAAACCCTCCCTAACGCAAAAGATTTCCCACTCAAACCAAAAATTATTCCAATTTTCCCGAGGCCTTTTTGCAAATCCTTTATTGACACAAATAAAAGAAAAGCAAGTAAAAATAGCTTGATGTATTCCAAAAGGATGTGAAAAACTAACTTGGCAAATGAACCCTTACCTCCAAGTTCAGCATCCTTTCAACTCATTCAAGAAGCGCTTCAAGGCCCAGAACATCGCAACTTGCAATTACTTGCAATTCTTTTTCCTTCCCCTCAACAAAAATATACTCGTTCCGAAACTCAAAACCTCCGTAACTCGTATTCTTCACTGGTACTTCAAAGTTCAAATGCAATAATTGATGTAAACGAGGGGGAAAACGCACCAGTCCGGGGATTGAGGAGTGACAAGAACGAATGCCGGAGTCTTTCCGTGAGTTCAACGTCGACGACGATTCAATAGGCCCTTGTTTCGGGTGATTTCCTCCTCCAGACTGATGCAACGTTGGAAGTGGACTCAGGTCATCGGCTTCATCACTAGATTCCTGATCGACCGGAGGTAAAACGTCGATTTTCCCAGAGAGCAAATCATAAGCAGACACATTCAATTCGTCCTTGCTGGGGTTGGAATTGCTGAAGCGCTTCTTTGACGACGATGTCCTACCATTGTCTCGTCTCGGCCAAGTCGAGTACGTGGACATGGGAACAAGCGCGGGCTCGTCGTCTAGAATTGTGCTGGAGCCGTGCGTCGAAGGAGGTTCGATTTGAATACGAGTTCCCGCTGCAACCACGTCTTCCGCAGCTGGGTCCTTCAGGATGAAATAAGTATCTACACCGTTCACAACCGGACCAGCTTCAAGCTCGTATTTCCCGCCGAGAAACATTTTCGTCGTTTCAGACAAGTGCACCCGTCCGGGCTGACCAGTGGACTCCATTTTGTTGGCGAACGTCACGTCATTCGAGAACACATCAAACTTGAACCTCTTCCTGCCGACGAGCCCACACAGCACTGTGCCAGTGTGGATTCCCACGCGCATGTTCACGTCTTCGTTACGATCCTGATCGAATTCCTTGATACTGGCAATCATTCCGAGTCCCATGCGAGCGCAACAGTCGGCATGATCTTCACGAGGCTCCGGACAGCCCGAAACGCAGTAGTAGCAGTCACCCAGAGTCGCAATTTTCTCACAACCACTCGTCGCACAGAGTTTGTCAAATCTTCCAAACAGATCATTGAGCAGATCCACGAGTTGCTCGGCAGTTTTATTTGAGCTCATCTTGGTGAATCCAACAATGTCAGCAAACAGAATGCTCACATTGGTCATATTCGTCATGTTGAAAGGTCGGAACGCGATCGGTCTATGGAATTTGTTGTTGTCATCCTTCAGCTGGCCCTCGGTCTTCAGCCAGTACGCGACAGTGGGCGGCATAACAGAGTTGATCATCTTCTCCTTCAACTGGGCTTCGTACTCCAGCTGACGACGAACGAGTAATGATTGGCCAACAATCATGAAAGTTCCGCGCGAACGAACTTCATTCATGATTAGGACATGAAAGCCTATGATGTGCAACGCGACGTGGAGAAGAACACGGGATACGACGATCTTGGCCATACGTTCCGTCGTCTTTGAATAATTGAGCGTTTCGAAGATAATGGAATAAACGCAGCATATAAGTACACATGCTGGTAGTGGAAGAGGAATCACGGTATAGATAAGCAACAAAGTAACCACTCCGAATGAAAAGGCAGCAACTGTCGTCACTTCTTCGATCATCTCTTCGCCCGGTTGGTAAATGGCGAATATCATCAAGGTGCTGACGATGAGAATGAAGCACATGAAGTAGCTCACCACGTGGATGTATCTCGAGTAGAGTCTCGTTTTCGTGAAGAAAAACAAGGCAAACCACACGAGTGACAGCATCAGACCCATTATGGTAAGCGCAGTTCGTGCTTCGGCGGCAGTAAACCCGAAGTAAGACGTCCACATGACTGTGATGATGAAAAGGTACACCAGGGCATATCGAACACGCAAACGCTTTTGCGGCAAACTTGTTCTGAGGTACTGCCTTTCAAGGATTTCGGAATCGAATTTAGGATTCCACCATTGAGGGGCAGCTCGTTCAAAAGGTATGCATCGACAGCCATGCGATGATCCCGCAGATGCTGAATCATTGCGCTCAGAGATATAGTTGAAAGATCCTATTTGACCATCTTGGTAATTCGGAATGCCGATTCTCACATACTGAAGTTCATCAATTATATCAATATCTTCTCTGTGACGAACACTGTTCCAAGCTTCATCTTTTCCATCATCTTCCATGTTTCATTCAGCAAAATATGTTTGCTCGCGGGAATTCAGAGGATCACAATTAACGCGTTCCGAATGTTACATCAAACGAGATAAAATGAAAATGGTACAACACTTTTCTCCTAAAAAATGAAAAAAGCAAGAGGTCATTTCAGACACTTCAGGTTACAGCATGTGGCACTTATGAATTGAGATGAACTTCACTTTCAAATTGGAGAAAGACTTCATAATTTGAAATGAAAATAGATGACACAGTTAATTACATTTTTGGAGAAGGGAGCTTGACATGATGAACTTTAGCAAGTTGGAAGTTAGCAAATGTAAAGCAGTAGATCAGAGTAAAAGGCTGAATGTTTGTGAGGAAAAGTTTAAAAAAGTGGGTTTGAAATGTGATCAGAATGAAACATCTCAAATTTTCTACACTTATACATAAATGTCATCAGAAAAAATGAGAATACAACTATTGTGATGAAAGATCTGTAAAGCAAACTGCACAGGACAAGGTTTTTCAAGTATAATCATACATTTGATTATGACAACAGTGTGTAAGAGGAAGTGTATTCAGTTTCTGTTGTGCTGCTTTGAGAAAGATGACATTACAGGTTGAAGTCGTTTAAATGTCAAAATAGGTAGCAAAGAACAATGTAGATTAAAACAGGACAAATTAAACAACAACAACAAAAAACAGAATGGAAGAGGAATTCAACTTGCACAATAAGCATGATGAAACATTAAGATGTGGCATACTAATTTCTTTATATGTAAAAGTTTGTAAGCATAATACAGTACTGTACTGTACTTCTTTATTTTTTTAAATCCAAATCCTGCCAGTTGAAGGGCTGATGTCAACTTGCAGGCAATAATGGTGGCACATTTTCGCATTATATTGCTATGTGAAGATGGTAGTGTTCAGAGTCATGTTCAATTCTTTCAGAGTCAGCAGTGATCTTCCTTTGATGACCAGGACACCTGATGTCATCACATCACTGAAGGGTTTGTTAGTCCTGCTTTGTTAAATCCATCACAGCAGATCCATTTGTAACATGGCCTGGAAATGCATAATGTAAATACAAGATCAATGCTATGTTATGTGTCAATTTTAAGCTTGCATCCACAATCAATGTTGTCTTATGCATGGAGCTTCTCGATTTGTCGAGGAGGTAGTCTTGGCATTTGGAAGTCTTCTGAGTTGCTTTCTGTTCTTCTTCAAATACAGTACATAGGTATGCCTTGATGCGGATCTTGCCAGCAATGGACCATTCGAATGCATAGACCGCTGAATTTCCTTGAAAATCACCATCTGGAAAAATGTGCATTCAGTAATAGAGCTTACACAAATATAGCCGTCCAAGAATCACGATTCGTTTAAGGATTGATCCAATAAATTAAGAGTGCAACGCAACTCTCATTTCAGTAATCCTAAATCTATTAACGGGGTGAAACTTTTGAATTCATACAGAAATATGGTTGCTTGTCAAAGAAATTAACCTCATTATGACGGATCAGTACAGAACACAAACGCTTTTTTCCTCATTAAAAAAAATTACTACACTTCAAAAAAGGAAAGGAATCTCACCAAAACGTGATGCTTATTGATCTTTGCACCATCCCACTGTTCCCCAGAGAGTCACGCCGAGTTGCAAAGCCATCTCTTCTTGCATAATCCAGCACAAGTCATTGACTATACAGTCGCTCAGTCACAGAACTCAAACGCAGGCTCAATCGTAGGCCTTTATATCACCATCGGAACATGAGAATATCACCCGGGGTCAGTGAAACGGACTCCGGGACAGGAGAAACCCCATTCCCCGCTGTGGTGAACATTTCGTTTCTCTGGGATATGGGTCCAGCAATCTGAAGAATGACAATCACTCCACCGATGAGAATGGTTAAAATGCACATCACCCATCGTTGAGTTTTGTGCAGAACTGCACCCTCCACTGACGTGACGCGACGTTATAACAGAACTTCCACTCAACGCCGCTCCATTCAACGCTACCTCTTCCACGCCACCCTAGGAGCGCCAGCTCTCATTGAGTGACTTCAACTGCAATGCTTTGGCGGTATAAAATGTTCCCATACTCCCAGGGACAAATAACAGTGCACGTATAAAAACACTTTTTTTTAAATAAATAAAATATATTATCTATGGAAACTCTGATAAACAAATAGCAGTGTGAATATAAAAAAAATTTTCAAAATAAATAAATAAATTCTGAATTTCCAACTAATACTGTGCAAATTATGTGAAGAACATTTTCAAGGAACTTTTTTTCTAGTCTGAATATCCAATAATATTTCTTACTACAAATTACATGACACAGAGCATAAGAACAAATTTTGACAGAAAGATTCTTGTCTGCCCAACTGCATTGCACTCTTTTTGTCTAAATTTCTAATTGCTTTTTGCATTTAAATGCATTAATAACTTACTCTAATACACAGATTTGTCAGAAAACAAGTCATGCATTCACATTCATTACTACAGCATTGAGCCTTTGGAGTGGTGTCACATTCAAGGAATTAATTCTCAGAAAAAATTATGCTCTCCTGGCCATGTTTGGAAGTTATTTGCACAAATCAGTGGTAGTGATGGAATACCTTTGAATGTGTTAACCATTTTTGGCCACAACCTAATACTATTCATAAAATAACAAGAATAAAACAATAAGAATGCTGCAAGTTCATGTATTGAATATTATGTTATCTTCCTACACCATTCTTCAACATGTAATTCCTATCTGTGAGCATGCGCAGTTCATGAAGTCACTCATTCCTGGTGTTTAGGGACCATGAGTGGAAGAAAATAGCCCTCTAGAGGGGTAGCGTGGAAAAGGAGTGGCGTTGAGTTTGAAAGTGTACAATAACGTCCAGTCGCCTTCCACTGAGGAGAATGAGAAGACTTCGTGGGAGCTGCCATGTGTGAGACCACTACCTGCAGCTCCCTCTAGCTTCTTGCTGGTGGGGGTATGTCACCCAAGGAAAGACTAGGTGCCTTGGCTTCCTTATACAGTTCAAGGACCAGCAGGCATAAAAGGCAGGCTTTAATTATTAGCAGTAGGTATATTCTGTGAAAAAGAGTGTAATACAATAGAAGAAATATATAAATAACATCCAGGTCAGTTTGGCACAGCATTTTTCAAAAAATAAAGTTTGCATTTCTTCTCTCACTTGCATGGACGTTTTCAACATTCAAGAAGAAACAACAAAACCATATGGCACTGCAATTCAACAACAATAAGATAAATTCCCACACAAACAAAAATAGTCACCAGGATATTTCAATTTTTTAAATAAAATGCTTCAAACCAGCATATACCAACGCAAAAAATTCTCCAAAGAGCTATTCATTGACTCCTCAGAATTGTATATATGCAGAAAGTTCAGTTGAACCTCTCCAAGTTGAATTTCAAGGGACTCCCAAAAAATTTTACTTAGGGAGGTTCCTAATTTTACAGGTTGAAACTTGGAAGAATGTAAATGATGATATTCTGGGGCTTAAAATGCTTTGAAAATGATTGTTGAAAAGGCTGTTGAACTTGGAGGCTGGGGTTTATTTGCCCAAATACGTCTTTCACTTCCTTTAAAACCCATACATTTCTGTTTTTATTGCTTTTTCTCTTTCTTGGGAGAAGAAAATATTGGCTGACAGACCACAGAAAATTAGACTTATGGGGGCTTGAGGGAAAAGCTTTCAACTTAGGGAGGTTTTTAATATATTGTTCCTATAAAGGGGATTCAGATGGGCATATAAAAAAAATTTGAGTTAGGGGGGTATTTGACTTATGGAGGTTTCAAGTTATCAAGGTTCACCTGTATATAGTTGCCATTTTTCAAGAAATGTTGTGGCACAATGCAGGAATATTGATTTATGAGAAGAGAGTTTTTTAATTGTTTTTTTTTAAAACCATGTTCTGAAACACTACATTTACAGGAGGAGGAATAAAATAGATACTGTATAAGTTTATTTTTCTTTGCCTCCTGCTGTTATACACATTTCACTGTTTTTTAAATCTTTGTTCATGCTATTTAGACCCACTGCTGATTTTTTCCAAGAGCCACTTCAATAAATATGGCTACAAAATTTGACTTTTTTATTCTGCCAAACATTTCTCTTACAGGTATAATATTTTCCCCATGGAATTGTACCCCCATCAGAGTGTCAGAGGATATGATTTTTTTTTAAATACCCCAGAATTGATGGAAACTAAGATTAATTATTATCATCATTGTAGTCTACAAACCCTGCCTGACCCATTTCGAAGGAACAACACTGTACAGTATTTGCCTGAGTACCATCATATAGTCAGTTAACAGCAAATTTGAAACAACGTTAAAAAAATATTGAAATGTTTATCTTAATTTTTAAAATTCGAAGTTTTCTATATTGATGATACAGCACTATATTATTTGTATGAGCCAAAAAATCCCCAAATATTCAAGTTCCAAATGGGATTCATTTCAGATGTTTACCCAGTATTCAATTTTTGAAACAGGCATTTTGATAACTGAAAACTAAGGTGCATGTCTATACATGTGCAGGGATAAGTTTTGCCCCAAAAATTTAGCTAAATATCTAAGGTGTGATTCTTTATTGATGGCATGTGTTACTTGTGTAAAATACAGTAAATTCCATCAGCCCTCAAATTAGTATGTGCATTATACTTTATTATAATGAAGAACTTTGGGGGGAAATGTAACAAGAAATCTTTTTTTACTGAAAAAGTTGAAAATTGATCAGATTTATGCTCAATTCATGTCTAAGTCAATTTTTTGTTTGTTTTTATTTTCAAAATGTTGTGGTCTTAGAGTCACTAAAAATTGGGGTGCGCGTCTTACTTGGGGATAAGATTTTAGCCAAATTTCCAACTGAAAAACCTTTGTACACCCCTTACTCATTGACACCTGGGCTGGTACTCAAGTAACTACAGTAGATATATTTAAATCAAATAACCTCTCCAAGTCAAATTTGAATAAGGGACCTGCAAAAAAGTGTACAGTGAGACCCCCACATGTGGACACCTTGACCTGCGGATAATTCAACATGGGCCAGTACACTTATTATGTCATAAAAATTTAATAAAAAAGGCCCAAGGTGAGGACACTGACTCAACATATAGGGACATTTTGTGATAAAATTTCAGATATACATTTCAGGCCAAATTACAAGAAACAGATATTTCCAACCCTTAAAATTGATGTAAGAAAAGTTCTTTGGAATTTCTCTCACCAATTTATCATCCATTTAGCTAATTTTAAAAAAAATTACCTCCAGCAGAGATGAGGGACTTTCTTCTTTCTTTTTCACTGGAATATTATTTTTACAGAGAATGCCAACATTTCTATGTACTGTATATGTATACAGAGGTATCAGTATTCAATTCCCCAAATGCCGGTATTGTGTTGAAATGTATTGATTGGAATCAGTTTAAATTTGGGAGACCATTTTTATTTTCATGGAATTATGGTGAGTATATTTTGTACATATAAAACACCATTTGCAAATGTTATATAATGTAAGCCTAAGGGAAAAAGAGACTGGACTTGGGGACACTATTACTCTTGATGCACCAGCAATTATATGTCCACATATCTTGGGGTCTCACACTGTACATATTATTTGCCTTTATTTCAGCGGGGTTCCATGCATGAATTATTCAGCTTATATTGTTCACCTGTACAGTATATGAATTAATTACCAGGGAAGGAACCCCCTGACAACGCTCAACAGGGACGTCACCGCCGCTGGAAACGGGTTCGGGGCACAGGCACTCAGGGGTTCTTTCCACGTGCCGTCGGCGTCGCAGCGGACAGTGGGGTCGCCGACGAGTTTCTCGTTGGCCGCGCAGGTCTTGGTGTACGTCTGGCCCACGTAGTAGTGGGGCAAGTTGAGCTCGGGCTTGACGGGGCAGAGGACGACGTTTTCATTGAGACTCGTGGCAGCCTTGGCAGCGGACTCGTCTTGGGTCTTGGTCTCTCCGGCGACGGCGGTGCTGCCGGTCGTGGTCAGGTCGTAGGCGCAGGCGGCGTTGGAGCCGCAAGTGGCGTCCCCGGAGGCGGTCACCTTGACGAAGGACGGCGCGTAGGTCTTTTGAGTGCTTCCGTTGTAGTCGGTGAACGTTTTCCCGCTGGGATACGCCATGAAGGACTGCGTGTCGAGGGCAATGCGCCACGTTTCGCCGAAATTCGCGTGGATGTCCGCCAGGCTATTCCTGTCCGTGACCTTGAAATGTGCACATATCGGCAGGCGTATAATAGTATTCAGCATCATAGACAGACGCATTATATTGGCGAGAGCATGCTGCTGGCGTTATAAATAATTATACCTTATAATAATAATAATAATAATAATAACAACTCCACTTGCTTTGCTTTGCTTTGCTTTGCTGAAATATTGTACTTGACCTTATTCAAGAGATTTTTATTCAATTGCAAGTGTCGGACTGCACAAAAATCCTTTTTAATTAACACGTTTTTATTAACTCGCTTTCTTGTCCATTTGTTTGTCCGGATCAAATTTTGCAACTCAAATTTTGCTCACTTCCCAACTAGCTATCAAGCTGAAACTTTCAGGATAGCTTAGAACAAATGAAATAGATGCGCACCACGTTTAAGGTTATTTTTTGCTTTTTCAAAAAGGTGGTTTTTTAGATTAATTTTTCAATCTACTAAATTTTTTTATTCAATCGCAAGTGTCGGTCTGCACAAAAATCATTACAGTATTAGAATAAATACCTTGGTTTCGCCAGTCGGCGTCTGCATTTCGTCGTCGATGTTGCCATTGGCGTTGCCGCCCAGGCCCCGGACTTTGCCCGAATAGGCGTCCCCCAGGTCGCCGGTGATGGTGAGGACGCCGCCGGGGCCCTTGGTCACGTTGATGGCCACGTCGTCGGCGGTGAGGAGGAAGGAGCTGGTGGCCGAGTCCCTGGTGACCACGATGTTGCCAGCACTCGTGGAGCTGGTGTCGGCGGGCAACTGGGTCCAGTCCACGGCCACCTGGTCAATGAGCACCTCGAAGGTGTCCCTGCTCGTGCCCGACACTTGCACCTATTTTATACAATATACGAGGGTTCTAACAAAAGTTCTCGGAGCAGCAATGAAAATGGCATACAATTGAGCTGAAAAAAAAAATTAATTTTCTAGCTAAAACATATTCTTTGGCACACAAAAAAAATCAGCCCAGTTTAACGATTTTTTTTAATTTTTGCAAAATTCATCCATATAGAGTTTTGCTCTCCACTCAAAAAATGAGGCGCCCTTTTTTTGTTGTAGCNAATTCATCCATATAGAGTTTTGCTCTCCACTCAAAAAATGAGGCGCCCTTTTTTTGTTGTAGCCCAGCTTTCCCCTCAGAATTTTTGAAATCAACTCGAAATTTGAAAAAAATTGTCAAACCGGGCTGATTTTTTTTGTGTGCCAAAGAATGTGTTTTGGCTAGATAATAAATTTTTTTGAGCTCAACTGTATGCAATTTTCATTGCTACTCCGAGAACTTTTGTTAGAACCCTTGTATATGTTTTATAAAAATACTTTTATTTTGCTGGATAAATATTGCTTGAGATTTTTTCTTTTTTTCTTTTTTATTGGTAAGGAAAAAAAAAAGGAGAGTTTTGTCACCTGCACTGGGACACCAGTGGAGCCACACCTCATGGCCAGAGCCGTGAAAACAGTCGCAAGAGCCCCAGCTCCGGTTTCCGAGAATTTCTCTGTCCTCACCTGCCAAACAAATAAAAGCATTGCATGAACGAATGTTATTGTATAAAACACTGTTTATAAATTACAGTGTCGAATTTGAAAAGTCCAATATATAAAACGTCTCCAAACTTCCTTTTTTTACAAGCATGACAGATATTCTGGTGGGACTTGGGAGAAACTTTTTCAAGGAAATATTAGTAAATTTTAAAAATTGCTGCTCAATATAGTCAATTAATCATCCACAATAATTAAATGGTACAGTTCTTTTCTGCATAATTTTGTTGGCAGTTTTATACAAGATGGAAGCATCTCCATTATTATTGTTCAAGAACTAAATAATTGAGATGCTTCCAAGCATCTTTTTATTTCCATTTTTTTAAATCCCTTTATTTTCTTTCAAATTCTTTGCCAGAAGTTATTCATTAAAATGCATAAAACAGAGTTTTATTTGTCCTTAGTTCACAAATGAACTTACAATTGATACAGTTCAACCTTGATGATAACTCTAACCTCCACAATGAGTCAAATAATGATCCACAGGTCTCGTTTTTATTATTTTCTTTACACAAGAATAAAGAAAAAAAAGCAATGAAAACAGAGATTGGTGCATTTTGAAAGAAAGTGGAAGCCTTTATAATTGGGCAAATGAACCCTGTTGCCACCAACTTCAACATCATGCAGTAAATAACTCATTTAAGAGGCAATTTAAGCCCCATAGAATGATCCTTTTACATTTTTAGGCAATTCTTCTTTTTTTTCCCTGTACAAAAGGGCTTTGCTTTGTATATATAGTTCAACCCCCATTAATTCAAAACCTCCCTATAAAAGTTGAAAACTCCCTCATCAGTCAACTTTTTTTTTGCTATAGCTACACTGTATATACCTTTCAAATTCAACTTATATTAGAGACGAGGTTTGCCTGTGTACAGTATATATACAGCATTTATGGTGAAAAATAGTGTTGTAACACAGTATTCGTTACTGTGATGAGATTTGCCTGTACAGTACTGTATTATATTTGCAGTACTGTACCTGGATTTGGCAGGCAGTGTCCGCGTTGGCAGTGGCGGAAGTGTACCAATACTCGCCCCAGCCGTTGAAGGTGTACTCGAGGCCGTCGAAGGTGACGATGTGAGGGTCGCCACGGCCTCTGGCGCGGCGCCGGCGCACCCAACGGTGGCCGCAGTGGCTGGGGCGCTTCTTGTAGAAGATGGCGCAACGCTCGGCCAGCGACAACGTCACTTCTCCCCTGTAGTTTACAGTATAAAATATTTATATATATATATATATATAGTCAAACCCCGTTAAGACGCTCCCCGATAAAGCGCCACCCTCGGCAACTGCCAAAATTTTGAATGAAACAAAGCTCCTCTATGTTAAAGTCTACATAGAAAACCTCGATATAAGACGCCATCCGCCAGCATTATTGATGAAACAAAAGGGCTGTTTTCAATTAGTCTTGTCTTCATTACAATGCCAACATTGGGGTAGAATTATAGTCTCTGCCAAGAATCTTGTATTTGTAAGAAAAATAATAATAATGTTGAAAATTTTGAAAAAAATAAAAAATATATTGACCTAATCTTAAAATTTGAATAAATTGATGCAGAAAAATTTATTTTCTGAAAAAGTAATCCATTGATCACAGCACTACTCTTTGGAAAATTAATGAAGTTTCTATATACATGACCTGTATCTCCATAACTTTTGGAGGAAAATCAAGTAGTTTTGGTCAAATAATTAAAATTAAATATTTGATAAACCGCCAACCTCTTTAAACTGCCAAAATTGCTCTGGACAAATGGTGGTGTCTTATCAGGGGTTGACTGTATATATATATATATATATATATATATACAAACAGTGGATAATATATACATCAGTGAAGAGGATAAGTAGGATGAAAGACACACTGACTGAGCAATATATAGAGTGAGCAGGGGTGGTTGGTAACACTGTTGTAACACATTTTTATGATAAAGCCTTTTTAATCTGTTTGATTAATCTTTGCTTAATCATTATTGGTTAAACTGTTGTGGAAACCCTGGTCTTGAGAAAATTTTGACCTGCATTATTGTAAAGCTATAGAACAACATGATATCCTGATTGATAATAGATTCAAATTTTTTTTTTTACAAATTTAAAAAAAAATGTTGATGCCCAGGTAAGATTGTGCTCCTCCAGCTTGTTATACATATATGTGCAGAGTCACTCATTTAACTTCAGTACATACATTATGCAGCACACATTACATATATAGTACAAGGGGTTTAACAAAAGTTCTCAGCAGAATATAAATCCAAATGGCACATGATTGAGCTGGAAAAAAAATTATTGTTCAGAAAAAAACAGCATTATTTGGCACAAGAAAAATATTCACCCCTGCTGTTTGAAATAGTATTCTTTACATTTATTTTGCACAAGCATTCTGATCTTAAGCTGAGGCACCCATCCAGCATAATTTTGGTGTATCCCAGCTTTCTCTTCAGAATTCTCAAAATCGACATGTCATCATTGAATTTTTTCATCATCAACGCATACAGTACACTATTGCATCAGAAAGACCTGGACGAATTAATATGCCATGTCAAACTAGAGACATTTTAAAGGGAATTTTATGCGGTATGCCAAAAGATCTGCAGTATCTATGGTGCCTCATATTTTGAGTGAAGGGCAAAAAACTGACATCATCAGGTTGACTATACTTTTGCAAACATTTTCTGGAAAATATGTGAAGCAGGGTTGTACTTTTTTCGCCAAAGAATACGTTTTCTTCCGAGCAATAATTGTTTTTCAGCTCAATCTTACGTCATTTCTATCCTGAGAACTTTTTGTTGGACCTCCCTCGCTGCATCATACGCGCGAGTTACAGACTAACCATGAACGATGAAGTTTCGAAGAACGACGAGCGACATCTACATGCGCAAAATAAAAACGCGAAAGTAAAACTTACGACGCCTTTTGCCTGATGTAGGTGTTCCACAAGTTGGTGAACCAGGAGCTCTTGTCGACTACCACGGTGGCGGTGTAGTGGGTGTCGGTGCAGCAGGCGTACCAGGGCACCATGTCGTTGCGCACGTGGGTCCAGTACTGGTACCTCGGGCTCGTGTGGAGCACCCAGCCTCCACCACGATTCGAGCAGTTCATGTCGTCGTTGCTCGTGTAACAGCACTGCTGTCCACCGCGTGACGCCGGCGCGTATCTCGTGGACCTGATGTATGTAAGTATAATATAAGACACGTCAGCAGGCATATCAATTGAAAATATTGTAATTCAAATGATGAGATGCATGATTTATTTAACGTTTTCAACAGGATATCATTTGCGAAATGATGCAGTAATTACCATCACAACCACTCTGGAAAAAAAGTTACTGGCATATTATAGTGCATCAATTTAAAATTTGCATTTGATGCTGCATGTGCAAAAATTGAGCATTTGAGAATCAGCCATTCATTTCATGCTTACTGACGATTTCTTATTGAAAAACAACATTTTCCTTCCTTGCTTAACTTTATAGGAAAGCATCCTATTCCAAAAAAATAAATTGTTGTCACTGTGTGCTAATTTCCCCAACAGAAATGTTTGAACTTTCTTGAACCCCCTTCTGATGGGTTCCCAGTCTAGGTTTGCATGTCTATACTCATTAATACAGGATGGCAACTCAAGCACAACCTTGTTTCTCATATATATATAGACTTGAGACTCTCTAGGTCAAATTTCAAGGTACTATTTAAAAAAAATGCAACATTTAGAGAGGTTTTGAGTACAGTGGCCCCCCGCCTAACAGACCTCCCATGTAAGGGATTTTTGCCAAACAGACCAGCTCTGCAAGCAGTTTTTACTCCCGTCCAACGGACAAAATCCGCCAAACAGACTTCTTTTGGTTTAAAATTAGTGTTGAAAATTGAAATTTTTAATTTTTTATGTAATTGAATTTGTGTAAAAGACTTTTTGTCTAACAGACTCGTCCCTTGCACGAATCAAGTCCATTAGACGGGGGTTGACTGTATACTGTATATAGATGTTTGACTTGCTGGAATCAAGCATTTTTTATTGTGGGAAACATTCAAGAATTGCATTAAATTGTGCATGGCAATATTCTGTGCCTTACATTAATTACTTTTAAAATGATTTGACAGGGTGCTGAACTTATTGGAGACACAGCAGGTTATTCATTTGCCCAATTTAGTCTGTCACATTCTTTCAAAGCACATTGAATCCCAATATTTTCAGAGCATTTCTCTTTCTGGTTCCAATAAAATAATATCAAATACTGTAATACTAGTAATTAAGCAGAACATTCACTGAATACACATATGCTGCCATAATGAGAATGATAATAATACACACCTGTAACACCTTGTAGAGCCCGGGTGGTAGAAGTTAACATTGTAGGACACCCTGTAGAAGTTGGTGTCGAACCTGGCTTGTCTCTCAGTCGGGGGACAAGGAAGGACATCTGTTGGAGCCGCGGGGGCACTAGAGTCCCAGCCAGTGCAGGTCACCTGTGTGTCCTTCCACATTCTCTCCAGGAAACTGGACACAGTGGAATACAGACGCCGTCCTCTCTATACAGACAAAAAGGAAACACGGCAAGCTCGAGAGTTACTATGTTTTGTGTAGATGTCACCACCTTTCTGCTGCTTCCTATATATNGGGCAGGAGGAAAAACTACTTGCAGAGCTGGTCTGTTTGGCAAAATCCCTTACACGGGAGGTCTGTTAGGCAGGGGGCCACTGTATATTGAAGTTTTATTTTCAGTGCTGGTCTCTTTTTTTCCAGTAGATATGCTCTGCTGATAATGGAAGTGGTGCATATTGCACACACCATTTCCTTTTATTTTAATTCAAATGTAAGCATTCTACTGTTTGGTATTTTTGAAACTGGTTTGTTATTTGGCTGACTCTATCCAGTGTATATACATTAGCACATGAAACTGATTACACACTGCTGTGTGTTCTTGGTTACATGAAAACCAGCCAAACTCATTTTCTAATTTATTTATCATATGCAAATAATACTAGGTTTATCATACAATTGACATCTTGAGCTCTGCATTCCCCTAAATGTATGTTTATGAAAGGTATTTTTAGAATATGACACTATACAGCAAATCAAATACAAAAAGGTGATATCACATTACCAAGTAGATTTCATTGGTGTTGATGGTGACGTCAGCAGAGATCCTCACTGACACAGTGGCAGCTGCATAGTTTTGTGAACTCAGCACAGACTGTGCACTGAAAGTGGCTGACCCAGAGTTGGGAATGTTCCTCAAAATGACTGTCTCTGATCCCCAGGCCCCTGTGTTCATGTCGAGTGTTGTGAGGGTCACATCAACATTCTTTGTGGGAGAGTCCAGACCCCCTGTGGCCCACCTTTATATTGTATGCATATGCAAGAAAAAAAAATCCAGAGGTATCATATATAGAAAATCACTCTGGAAATTCTCTACTAGAGCACTTTATATATGCTTTGCATTGTGCACAGCTGTGGGAGAGTTGCAGTTATGTATGAAAGTGTATACAACAACTGGAATAAAAGTTTCCACCTATCACCATGTAGCAAATTTTAAAAACTTCTGTATAAATCTGACAAAAAAATCCCAGACTCTTATAAAACCTCTCGGGCCATGTCATAATGTTTTCTTTACAATCAAACCTACTCTAAAAGTATCAGAGGTCGCGTCCAACTGGGACAACCCCTGTTTACTGCAAATGCAAAGGCACCACTTTATGAATACTGTATGCTGGTCCATTCAGCTCTTATCATGCTCAGGTATTTATTTATAAATTTTAATCAGTATACCAACATGTTTCCAGAAAGACTGTTTGCTACAGTGCCAATTTTTGAGACCAATTTTTGAGACTTTCTGAAATTGTTCCAGCAGAGTTTCTACAATGCAATATATATATATATATATATATATATATATATATAATATATATATACATATATATATTTACTTATTTATTTAGAAAAAAAATATATATTGAGTAATTTTTTTGAATTGTTCAAACTCCGTTGGATCTATGTAAAAAAGTCTCAAACCTTGTGAACCAACCCTCCAACATATGTTCCTTGAACGAGTGTGAGTAACAAATAATCTCCAATAAATATAATCGTGTTGAAACTTTCGCAAAAAAATTCAAATTAATATTATCTCGCCCATCGTCAATTGCAGCACCATTTTGAAGAAGAAGAAGAAGAAGAAGAAGAAGAAGAAAAAAGTGATTTATGGTTCTTCAATTGATTGAGCGATGATCGAGAGAAAATTAATAATTGAGGCATATATGTATCGTATGAGCGGACGAGCTAATGACTGACTTGACTTTGACGGTGTCTGAGGTCTGCGTGTACTCCAGGGTCGCTGCGTTGTGCGGCTCCTCCATCACGCTGACGCTGGTGGTGAAAAGCACGGTTGTCGGAGCGGAGTCTTTCGCTACTTGAACAGATACCATCTTGTCGACGCGGTTGATCTGAGGAGTGGTGCAGGAGACCAGAGTGGCGCTCGCGGCGATCCCGTACGTGAACGTGGCCTGGTTGCCGTCAAAGTAACACCTCAGCTTGTCGTTGGCAGCGAAGGACGTGCAACCCGAGACTGTGAACTCGGCCTTGCCCCCGCCGTACACGGAAATGGCGGGGGTCTTGGGCTTGCCGGTGCAAGCCGAGTCCACGCCGGGCAACAGGTGTTGATGCAAGCCCAGCAACAGCAGCAGTAGCAGAGAAAGTGAGAATGTTTGCTGCCCATCAGCAGCAGCAGAAGCCCTCCTGGGCTTTATCGTCATCATTATATTATTAATAATCACCCTGCACCTAAAAGAGACGAGCAGCCGTCGTATTATTACACGTTCGTGTACTTTTGAAAGACTGACACTTAGCGGCTATGAAGTTTAAGATTGTCACGGAGGTTTTTATCATTAGGACACAGATGTCGCTACTAACGCTCTTACCCGTTAACTATAGAATTCACGGTAAATCAATTTGTTCCAGTTATTGATTTCTGCACGAAATTTGATGTTTTTGTATATTAGGTGAGAATGACAGAGAACATTTTTTTAATGGTCCACGATTTTCTGAGGTTCAGGGATATCTTGAAGATTCAAAAAAAAAAACTTTTTCACGTACGATGTGAGGATAAATGAAAACTTATACAGTTACAACCAGAGTTCTCTACTCATCTCACAGGATCCTAAAAATGTGTCAAGCAAGCTAAAATAAATTTAATTTTCAATCTGTTTACCCGTTATCTTCCTAATGGATAAAACATTGAAAAATTCAATTTTTACCTAGCCTGACAAATTTATGTAGCATTTATGTAGCATGTAGCATTAGTTATTTATTTTGCTGACTTGAGTCCATGACTAACTCCTTGGAAATTTACAAATTTCAAATTGTCACCAAAAATTAAAATAAATATTATTCGCCTTTCGTACGTAACGAAAACGATGTTGTATAATGTACATTTAAAAATTCGAATTGAATATTGAAAAAATTATACCCGCATTAAATACTCTAGTTACATCAACAGTCCGTTATTTCTGATGATTACGTATAATCAAACACTCCAATCAAGGGAATTATAAGCATCATCATCTGAACATAAAGCAGAAAATTACAGAAGCGTAGTTTCATACTGGCATATCAAGCTCAGAAGGAAATTCATTTTATTTATATGAGGGAGATGATTGTTGAAAAAATAAGGGGATATTTCTTCGTCTTGGAATTCATATGACACTGTATTTCACATTGCTGAAAGTAATATTATTTTTGAAGAGATGCGATATTTGATGAGAAAACTGGAAAACTTCAATTTTTCCTATACTTTGAAAAACAAAACTAAGTGTATATTTTCTCTTATTTGAAATGCTGAATAAAAGTTGAACTCGTCGCGTCGTCGCCGAGGGTTGGAAGAACACTGACTTTTCTGCTGCTTTCCAACGTTATACAACGACTCGCTTTACACATTTCACTTTGCTGCTGACGTCAACTTTGTTCAATTTACCGACGAAGCGGTTGATTCAGAAACCATAAAAAAAAGAAGGCGAAGCAGTGAAGTCAATGATATTGACGTAGTGGTGGGTGAAGAAACGCGAGCGTTTTTTTTTTTTTTAGTATGTATACCTGTATCATCGTATATACGCATCGCCTTGATGTTCACTGTGTTTTTTTCTACGTTTCTTTCTTCTTGGATACATTTTATTTTTCTATACTGCTGGAGAAACTGCGTGAAATTCGCAGAAAAAACACAGCAACAGAACTTTGTATTTCTCAAGGATAGATACGATTTACGAGGACATTTTTTTTGAAACTGCACTCCCTCCCCTGCAAAGCCTGCATTCCCAAGTATCCCAACGTTATAATTCACTAAATGTCTTTTAAATCTTTGGAGGGGATTTTCAACTGTGTCAATTGTCTTGTGTTATTGAACCTAGGGCAGAAGGGGGGATATCTTCGAAAAGGCAAGAAAAACACTGAGAAAATCTATAAGCCACGCGAGAATTTGGTTCGAATATTCCCACGGGATTTTTGGGCGGATATATTTCAAGGATTACTGTACTGTACTGCATTTGACAATACATGAGTGTCATTCAAATCAAGGTTGTTTAAGTAAGCCGTTCAGCGCACACAACCAGTTTGAGGATACGAACAATGCGAGTTTGCAGCAAATTTCCGGCCAGGTATGTATGCATCAGACGGTCGACTGTTCGCTTGAAAGCGATAGCTCATTGCTTTCGTTTTTACGGCTAGAATTTAGATAGTATATTGAATTTAACATTCATAACTATCGAAAAATATTTTGTTCGGTGTTTCGTGAATTTTTGAAACAGTTCCGAGGATTTGTCTTTGTTGAACGATGCTTTGTTTTTTGGCTTTTGTACGCATGATGCATAGCGTAATGAACCGGATTGCAAATGGATACGGGTCGGCCGTTGGGTCTAATATCCGGTTATCATTCGTGAATTGAGGAATTGTTCTTGCGAAGTGGAGTCATTCATGCGCAGTTGCACAGTGGTTGGTGCCTCGAGAGGTTTTGGGTGAAATTTTTGCGCCAATTCAAGTGTGATGAAGATGATCTCCCTAGGATTCCGCGATGAATTCCTTCCGTTTCACACCCCGTGAATACTGATAGCGGTAGCGCGTAATCTAAGCCGGCCGGTGCTTTGCGAATTGGGTTTTCATGGCAGAATACGAGTTCATTTTATTGAAGTTTGTGTTTTAGCGAAACCGGTTTGATTCCATGATGTTCGAAAACCTTGGGTTAGTGTTGCCTATCGTTCACCAGTCATAAAATAAGATCCTGGGAGTCGTGACGGTACTCGAGCAGTGACCGTAAATTTATGTGAACGATTTCCTCTCCTCGGTGAAATGATGAACTGTAGTAACCGAAGCAGCAAGTCTTAGTGTACAGCATCTTGTCTTTAGCTGCGTTCCTTACGGATGAAGGACTATACAATGCTGTACCGTAAAGCTGATCGATTGTTCCGACAGATTAGTAATTGTTGGTACGCATGCAAATCGCAGGCGTGCCGTTACTTCCGCGTGTCGTGTCGTGATTTGCATTAGGGATGGACGGTGTCGGGAATGGAGGTGATTCCGGGCCCGGTCGGGACGACGATCGAAAGCTGTTCATCGGCGGATTGAGCTGGGAGACCGGCGAGCAGGACATTCGCGATTTCTTCTCATCCTATGGAAACGTGGAAAGCGTGAACCTCAAGACTGACTCGAACACTGGCCGATCTCGGGGCTTCGCTTTCGTCGTCTTTTCGAACACGGAATCCGTGGAGTCGGTGCTCAAGGAGGAAGACCTCATCATCGGTAACAAGAAGGTGGAAGCCAAGCGGGCTAAAGCCCGGCCGGGCAAGATATTCGTCGGCGGCATTCCGCACGAAGTTTCCGACGATGAGATCAAGCAGCTATTTGCCTCGTATGGCACAATATCCCTGGTGGAGACCCCGTACGACAAGGTACAGCATTTCCATATATCTTCCTCTTCGTCCCTTTCAAGTAACGGGGGTGCTTAGCGTGCCTCCTTCCTTTAATGAATGATTTTCGGAGACCTCGCAAGAGCCAAGTGCTAAACGTTCCTGCTTGTAGAAGGACGTGCGCCGACGCAGAATAAAAGGCTGTTGACAGAAATACGTTTTGGAAATACCTGTATGGACTTTTCAAGTTGGAACTAAAATGAGGCTAGAGAATTTCCGTGTTGTGCACATACGAGGTACCCGATAAGCTCGTTGATTAGAATGTGACTGAGCGAAGTACTGTACTGTACAGTACTATTTCATCAAGCAGGGCAACGCTATAGAGCGCTGTGCTGTTTGGTAATCTCTGGAGATGACCCAAATGGGCGCGAGAGACATGAGGGTTTGCTCGCGTGACGAGTAATCTGAACCATAAATTCAAGTCGAACTTACTGCTTAGTATGAGCCAACATTTCACCCTGTACTGAATTTTGAACCTGAACTTGATTAAATTGACGCATCAACCTACAAGATTATTTTAGAAATTGCTATTACAAGTGCATGCAAGAAAATGGGTTGAACACGGGAGTGGGGCATGTATGGCAATGGGTGTTGTGCAGAAGAGCCAAATTCCACAGCGTTTGGTAACACCTTTATTTTTTTTCTTGCGGCTGCAGAAGTTTTGAACGAATATTCCTGCTCAAGGTTCATTCTGACATGAAAGTTCTACGTAATTTATGAAATACTGTACCACCTAAGCTAACGTTATCAACCTAAATTAAATGTTGACTTCAAGAAAGCTGATTCAGGATTACGTCGACGTCTATTCAATTGCGAATAAATTCAGTATTCCGGGCCGAAGTGGTTTTTATAACGAGGAATGTTCCATTTGAAAAATATCAAGAGGAAGTTTGACGAGAAGAAAGCATTGTTTGAATTCTTTTAATAATAATTCTGTGTGTTCCTTTACTTTTGCAGGTGAGGAGCCAGAGGAAGGGCTTCTGCTTCATCACGTATGAGAACGAGGCGTCCATGAAGGCGGTGCTGAATGGGGCAAAGCCTATGCTTGGTGGGCGCGAGGTTGACGTGAAGAAGGCGACGCCTAGGAATGACCAGATGATGTTTGGCGGTCCTGGTGGCGGCGGAGGTGGTGGGTTCATGCCCCGCGGCGGAGGAGCAGGAGGCGGCTTCATGCCTCGCGGTGGCGCCGGCGGTGGCTTCTTTCCAAGGGGAAGAGGCGGTGGACCTCCGCCTCCAAGGGGAGGCGGCGGCGGCGGGATGCGAGGTGGCTACTATGGTGGACCGCCGCAGCAGCAGCAGCAGGGCTGGGGCGGCTATGACTATGGTGGTGGTGGAGGGGCAGGAGGAGGCTACAATTATGGCTATGGAGGCGGCGGCGACGGTGGATACGGAGGTGGTGGTTATGGATACAATTACGGTTATGGGGCGCCTCAGCCGCAGGGGCCCCCTGCTGGGCCTGTGCCTCCGCCGCCACCACCGCCAGGAGCGGCGGTGGTCGGTCGTGGTGGCGCCGTGGCTGCGGGAGTGCAGCGCTACCACCCCTACCAGAACTGAAGAAGAGAAGGAGTGACATCTGGTGGCTGTTGCGGCACTGCCTGACGCTCCTTTTGTTTTTGTGTTGATTTTATTTTTTGTTTATTTCCATGCGTCCCCCCTCCTCATTCTTTGCGTACGATTTCCTTTTTCCCCGTGAAACAAACAACAAATGCGAGAGAGAGAGAGAAAAACGAAAATTCCGGTCTGTCTTTTTTTGTTGAATTTTTCTCTACCCGTTGTTTTTCTTGCTGTCTGGGAGGGATGCTGAAATACAGTGAAAGCGAAAAAGTTTCTTAAAACTTTCCGTAATTGATCTTGTGATTGATTTTTGTTTTCTAACTGGTTTGAATCGTGGTTGGAGTGGATTTAATTGCAGTACTCGCTTTGTACGCTTTACTTTCAGGATTCGCTGATTTTTTTCTTTGTGGACCGTTCAGAGTCACACACGAAAAATTTCTGGAGTTCCAGGTGCAGTTTGCCGAGGTGAGACAACGACGCTTCTCGTTCAGCCCTTGTTCGGGAATCGATCGATTTTTATTTTTTGCAACGGATGAAGTGGATAGAACCCACTTTTCTCGTTTGCTTCGAAATTAATTTTAAAGAGTAACTCAAAGTATGCCCAAACCGAACTTGTTCCTACATCGAAACTACGTTGGAAGAAGAAAAAAATATACTGCACTGTGTATGCAGTGTACTGTTTTAGAAACGACAGAACAGTGCTGTGATGTCGGTGGAATTATCAAACCACGAAAGCTCTCAGTAGTACTGTACAGCATTCGAAGTGTTCGAGCTTCAATTGGCGCAGGCAACGGCAGGATTCCCCCCCTCCCCCAACCCTCCAGGCATGTACAGTACGTCATTGCATCGTTCCTTTGCAAAGATTTCGGATTGCTCACAATTTGACGTAAGTCACGCTCTTGAAATTTTAAATCACACAAGCAAAAATCACTTTTTTTTATGTGACAAAACTCAATATGTTATGGGTTTTTTTTTGCTTTATGTGGCCGAAATTTATCCTAAGTTGCAGAACTGTGTTGCGTGTGCTCAATCAAAAAATTCAAGGGGCAATGAGAGAAATTCGTTTTATAGATAAGTTTGTTGTGAAGGACCCCTATCGCATGGGGGGAAGAACCCTGTGGGACCACCAAGAAAATCTGTTTCGAGGACAGTTCACCTGCTGTTCAAGGACTAGGAATGAATGCACGCATCGTCCGCATGTCATTGCCTGAGATTCCATTTTACTATATTTGTGCGTTCCTCAAAGAAGTTCTGTTTTCGTGAAAAAACTGGAACGGAAGAAGAAATTTTCTGTCCAGAAGATTTATCTGGACAATAAAGGTTTGAGATAATGAAGAGGTTGTCGAATTGAATAGATTTTGTTGACTTTCCAGGTTACCACTGTACATCACTTTTGTAGGTGATGGAGGACTGCGAGGAAAATTTGAGTCACCTGAGCAAAAAAGAAAAAATTCGATCCGGATTAGTGTTCACCAAAATGTTTCCTTTTAGTGTCAAGTTAGGTGGACTCTGATAACGATTTTCCCTGTACAGTACTTAGTTCCGTTGGCATCTCGTCCCTTGTACTGTACAGTACTAGGATTTTAGCGTAATTAATATTTTTCACGGTCTCTCGTAGAATTTCTTTTCAGAGAGAGTCGGCCTGTTCATTCAAGGTAGGAAATGCTTCGTCCATGACAAGACGGTTTTTGCAAGGTGTGCAAAATTCTGCTGAAGGCTTTTCGCATCACAGCTCGGAATGTGAGAAAAGTTGATTACCTGAATAATACGTCCCTCTTTGAAAGTGCAGTACAGTGCCTTGACTGGCTTTTTCGTATGAAACCCCGAGTTCTTTTTAGTTTTCGATTCTGAAATACTGTTTGAATGAAGTCCCCAGTGGGTGTGTGATGTGTGTTATCCCCCGCCCTTCAAAATTTCCAGTCTACCCCCGCGCGTGGGAGTGTGTGTGTGTGTGTGTTTTCGTGTGATGAGTTAATTAGCCTACACCATCAGTGTGTGTGTGTGTTTGTGTTTGGATTATGGACATGGCCAAAGATGGCGACAAGGACGTGAAAAAAGACGCCGGTTTGTTGGCCAAGGAAGCCGACTCGCGAGCGAGGAACAGGCAGTTGTCGCGACGGACAGGCAACGGCAGGATTCCCCCCTCCCCCAACCCTCCAGGCATGTACAGTACGTCATTGCATCGTTCCTTTGCAAAGATTTCGGATTGCTCACAATTTGACGTAAGTCACGCTCTTGAAATTTTAACTCACTCAGGCAACAATCTTTTTTTTTCATGTGCCAAAACTCAAGATGTTATGGGTTTTTTTTTGCTTTACGTGGCCGAAATTTATCCTAAGTTGCAGAACTGTGTTGCGTGTGCTCAATCAAAAAATTCAAGGGGCAATGAGAGAAATTCGTTTTATAGATAATTTTGTTGTGAAGGACCCCTATCGCATGGGGGGAAGAACCCTGTGGGACCACCAAGAGAATCTGTTTCGAGGACAGTTCAACTGCTGTTCAAGGACTAGGAATGAATGCACGCATCGTCCGCATGTCATTGCCTGAGATTCCATTTTACTATATTTGCGCGTTCCTCAAAGAAGTTCTGCTTTCGTGACAAAACTGAAACGGAAGAAGAAATTTTCTGTCCAGAAGATTTATCTGGACAATAAAGGTTTGAGATACTGAAGAGGTTGTCGAATTGAATTGATTTTGTTGACTTTCCAGGTTACCACTGTACAGTACATCACTTTTGTAGGTGATGGAGGACTGCGAGGAAAATTTGAGTCACCTGAGCAAAAAAGAAAAAATTCGATCCGGATTATTGTTCACCAAAATGTTTCCTTTTAGTGTCAAGTCAGGTGGACTCTGATAACGATTTTCCCTGTAAAGTACTTGGTTCCGTTGGCATCTCGTCCCTTGTACTGTACTAGGACTTCAGCGTAATTAATATTTTTCACGGTCTCTCGTAGGATTACTTATCAGAGATAGTCGACCTGTTCATTTAAGGCAGGAAATGCTTCGTCCTTGGCAAGGTGTGCAAAATTCTGCTGAAGGTTTCTCGCATCACAGCTGAGAATGTGAGAAAAGTTGATTACCGGATTAATGCGTCCCTCTTTGAAAATGCATTACGGCACCTTGACTGGCTTTTTCGTATGAAACCCCGAGTTCTTTTTAGTTTTCGATTCTGAAATACTGTTTGAATGAAGTCCCCTGTGGGTGTGTGATGTGTGTTATCCCCCGCCCTTCAAAATTTCCAGTCTACCCCCGCGCGTGGGAGTGTGTGTGTGTTTTCGTGTGATGAGTTAATTAGCCTACACCATCAGTGTGTGTGTGTTTGTGTTTGGATTATGGACATGGCCAAAGATGGCGACAAGGACGTGAAAAAAGACGCCGGTTTGTTGGCCAAGGAAGCCGACTCGCGAGCGAGGAACAGGCAGTTGTCGCGACGGTTCAATAAGAATAAGCGTGCTAAACCTGAAGTTCAAGTTGCGCCAAAGTTCGTATACCTGGTTCCTTTTTTATTTTTTTGAGCGCGAATTTTGAAAATCACTCTACGTTTCTTCTGTGTTTTGGATTCCATCTTCAAATCATGGAGTATCCTGCGCGCAACGCAATTGCATTTTGAAATCTAACCATTCTAGAAATAATTTTGTTTATGTTTACCGAGTGTATTTGCATTGGCAATGACGAAGTCTTCTATTTTCCAGCTCCTGGAGTATTGAAATGGTTCTTCGAGTTTTGATCCAAATTTCAGCTGAACAAAATTTATTCGTTTTAAATCTTTAAATGTTCATTATATTTTACGAATTGTTTCCTTCATTTGGCACTTTTACTGTGTACTGTATACTGTATTTCAATGTAAAAGACATAATTTTGAAAATTTCGGTGTTTACTTGGCAATCATCGTTAAATCTTGTTGCGATAAAGTCATTGAGGCAATTGAAATAGCTCTCTTTTGTTTTGGAAAATATGTTATCAAGTAGCTGATGTTTGGGCTATTTGGCAGTGCCCTGAAAATTAATATGTTGTGAGCAATTATTTGCTGTAATGAGATTTGTTGTAACATAAGTATACTGTTACTCATTATTACATCTTCTGATAATTCTGTAAACATTACAGAAAGAAGATATGGTTGAGAATTTTGAAAAGCAACTGAAGTACAGTAGAGTACTTTAGTTCGCAGGTTTGTCGTACCACCTGGCATGTCTGTGCACAACATGCTTGAAAAGCCCTGCCCTGGAGTTCATGACTTAAACTGATCAATGCCTTTATTCAGTAGATGTCACTGGCTGTTGAAATTATGTACAGTATTTTATTTCCCGCCGAAGTCCAGTGAATTGATTTTTCCATTGTGTTCCAAGTATTTTTGTGATAGGTGAACTCTCTTTACAACAATCTTGTCTACGAAAAATGTTTCTAATTCTTTGGTCCCATGAGTTATTTCCCCATGTTATACGTGTTCCCAGAACATAATTCTCTCCAGGACAAATTTTCTTTCTGGTCCCTTTAGGATTGCTGTAGAGAGAGTCCATCTGCTTTATTCAAATACTGCTCCCTGTACAGTACTGAATATCTCAGTGTTTGAGTGATTCCTTATTTGAGCCTTTTCAATACAGTATTTTTAGAATAAATTTCCAATTTTTTATTCTCTTTACTTGTGTATGGTTGTATTGAACTGAATTTGTACGAGTAACGCCCTGCATTTTCATTTCTTATAGCCAATCGCACATGGCAAGTCTAAGATGTTCAGTTTGATCCCATTTTTAAAATTTTTCTTTTCGTTATTTATTGTGCAATTGCAGAAAAGGGCAGAGCGATGACGTCGAAGAGAGTGTGTGCGCCATCTTGGCGCCGGACGCGAGGCGGAACAAGCAGCAGTCTGCTGAAAGTTCACGGATCGGCCTCGTCAGCTCTCCACTGTCTGCCAATGTTTCCGCACGGACCTCATCTGCAGAAGCTTCATTCGCAGTCTCTTTGAACGAGGTGAAAGAGCGCACGGATCTCAGGAGAGATGCCGGAGGGTATTGTCGGGCTTTGCTCTGTGGTGGTGGTGCAAGAACTGCTGCTGCTGCTAGGATGAGGAGTGCTGCTGATGTTGCGAGGAAGGAAACCTGTGTGCAACGGTATAAGCAGCTATGCATTCGGGTTGATCATTAATTATATGTAGTGTAGTGCAGCAGGTGTTGGACTCTCTTGACAATAAATGATATCCTTTTAAAAAGGAATTCTTTTGGTCCCCTGAATTTCATTGTTCAGAGAGTCCATCTTTGCTATGTACAGAGCAGTACCTGTTCCTCAAGTTATGGTTTGCAGAAGTTTTTTTTCTGGTCTGTAGGAAATTGTCTATAAATAGTAGAAAAGTATAATACATTTATAGTTGTATAGTACTGTATAATAGTGTACATTAATGAAATGTATCAATGAAGTCTGTTATCATGATCTGAAATTTTGGAAAGACAGTGGCTCTTGAAATTGTCCAGAAAAATGAAAGATTGCTTTTCTTGTAATGCTGCAGACAAATTTTCACCTGCTGGAATAAATTATTCTGATTTTTTTATTCTGACATGCCTTTCTTCAAGCCCACCCTTTCTGACTTCTGAGGACATTACTTTTTTGAGTTTGCAAACATTTATGGGACTGTGGTGGTCAACAGAACATTTGCTGGTCATCTGCAGGCCCAAAATCTTGTAGTGCAGTATAGTTGATACCTGGTATGTTTTTTGTTTCTCTCATGTAATTTTAATAGCGTGCTGTCTAGATTGGAGCAGTCTGCAGAGCGCCCAACACTGGTTCTCAAGTTGAATAATGCCATGAGTGGGATCCAGCGAGAACTGAGTGGAGCAGAGCATAGATTTGGAGCCCGCAAAAAGTCGTCGTCGTCATCATCTGCTGGCCGACGAGCTGGGGTCAAAGCTGCGGGCTCTGTCATTCCGGGTCAGGCTGTGTACAGAGGAAGAGCCGTTGTTCGCGAGATTCTGAGCATGAGGCAGTCTGGTGGAACCCATCAGGAAGAGTCGCTGGGCTTTGGATCCCCCGAAGCTGATGATGCTGCTGCTGCTGCTGACAACTCGGAATCAACTTCCCAGGTTTAGTGGTGTACTTAGATACAGTATTATGTAACATATGTATATTTATATGCTGCATATGTGAAATTGTTCCATTTTTGAAATGTATATATAGGGACTACCCGGTAAATAAACTTTTCTAGAGAAGTGGTGGTGGTGTACTGGTGGGCGACATGCCAAGGAGAGGAAGAGTCTTTGCAGGCCACAAGAAAAAATTCTGGCTAATAAAAAAATATTTGTTCAGAAAAATGTACAAAATTAGGGTCGGATTCCCTGCATTTGCTAACATACTTTATTTGGCGGTAAGATTGGCATGATTGAAAATTGGGGAAAGCATCCATTTTGAAAAACAGCTCCATGAAAGATCTTGGAAAAAATCTTTTTTCCACTTCAAACCTCAGAATTGCAGCGAGAATCTGAGTGCATATAATTAGGTTCTTAGTTGCTTAATCTTTATTCAATTTTTAATGTTATGGTCAGAGTGATTATGTCAAAGCAATTGGATATACTGTATTCAAGTTGATTGAGAATTTTTAAATGTTGTTTCAATTGTGATTGATGTTTTAAATAAAGTACAGTAGAGACAAACTCAAAGGAGATATGTCATTGATTTCCCCTGAATTTCTGCCACAACTCTGTAAATTTGGAAAATGTGAGTAACTCTGTGCCAGTCATTTATGGTCCGTGTGTTATTGCTGTATTTTTGCATGAATGTTTTTAAATTTGGCACTATGAAAAAATCATCTTTCGAGGAAATAATTGCACTACAGTATGTGTGTTTGCAGGTGGTTTTGTCAGGAGGCCTCAAGTCTGCATCAGGGACAGCATCCAAGACTGAGCAGACATCTGAGAAGAATAAGACACCTCGTAGAACTCCTTCAGGAGAATCAGTTACTGGACCTGATGACAATGAAGATGGGGTGGAAGAAGAAGGTGGTGACAGGTTAGTCATAGCCATCTTTGTTTTGTTCTGTTTTTGAATCGTATTTTAGATCCACTCTTTCCTGATAGTCTCTTATTTATTTAAATGATGATGTACAGTATATTTTTACAGTATTTTCTTTTCTTTTTTTTATTAGTGGGGTCAGACCCCCTGAAGTGAGGTTTGAAGACATGCTGTACCTGTGGGACCTGAACAGAGACCTGAAGAACTTGGTGCACAGCAGAATTAGGGACCTGGGAATGCCCAAGTTCCTGGGGATGGGCATTGTCAACAAGGGCAATGTGGCCCCCGAGATTATGTTGCCTGAGCTTGGGCCCATTCCCAAGGTTGAGGCTGAGTTGAGGGAGATGATCAAGAGGCCTTCTTTCAAGGAAAATCGTTTTCTGTAATGAAGCCTGATGGTGTTTTGGTGCGCGGATTTTCTCCCTGGGGTGGAATAAAGTTTGAGTATTATTGAGAGTAATGAGCTGCATTTTTTTTTATGTGAAATGTTGTTTTGGATCTTCATGAGTGATCTCATGTGTTGAGATTTTTGAAAATAGTCTTGAAGTTGAATTTGAAAACTTTGAAATTATTGAAATATGCCATCTGGCTTAATCGTTCACTGAAATAAATCAATATAAATGTATTTCTGGTCGAATTGGAATTTTTATTGATCTTAGATGTCATTCCTTATGCCAGCCTGAGACCCCTTGTGAAAGAATTAATGAAAAAAAAATGTATTTTGTAATTCTTGAGCTGGTGTTTGAAATTTAGCTCCTGTTTAAAGACAGAAGGCCGTAGACATTTGACGACGCGAAATTTTGAGCATTAATTTGACTCATATTCAAGTGTTCGTACAGTTTTTTTTTTTTAATTTTATAGCATGTTAGAGAGTAACTAAAACTTACGAGGCTTGATGGAAGTCAAATTGTTTATACCTGACGCATTTAAATTACTATGAATAACTTTCTCTGCTTGTTGAATAACCTTAAATTTATGAAATGCATTAGGACCATTCTGACTGGAGTAGTGCAAGGTGGGAATGTTGACTATACCTGGAATTCCACTCAATTCTGTAATGTGGTTTCAAGAATAAGTTGATCAATTGTGTTTGAACAATTATGAACCCTGTGCCTGCAAGAAATTGGAAAATTCTCAGGATTTGATCAAATGAATATTTCCCTGTGAGAATGACATGTTGCGAATGAAACAGTTCTGGTAAATGAACGTTTTACTTCATGCCGTATTTCGAACGTTGCTATTTTCTCCTAATGGCGCGACATCTGTTGTGCAGACTACATGCTAAAATTATCCTGCCACTCTTGTTTGTGGGAAGATGATGAGCGCTAACCATCATCGGGTATGGGCGTGGGCACAATGAACTTCCCGGACTAGTCTGACAAAAGGACTTCTCTGAACTCGTGCTGCGCTGCCCGCGTTCCCAGTGACCTGGCCTCGTTTCCGCCTTCTCTTAGTGAGTGCAAGTTAAATTTCCAGAGAAGCGCTGTCAAGCCATCGTTTATTTAAATAAGATTTGCGCAGTGTTTGATGTTCTACTCAAGAACGTAAATGGCTATTATAATCGCTCTTAGCAGTTTCAGGTCCATGTTTAGGAAGAATCGTGTTTATTCTGGCATTTGTATTGGCGTTCGAAAGTATTTCAGCCCTCGCCCATCGTGCTCGTGTGCGATTCGGAAAACTGCGCTTAGTGTTGATTCTCGCTAGCTCTGGTAGACGTCGATGCCCTCAGCTGAGAGAGGCGAATAAGTGCGCCTACAGTCGAATTCTAGAAGCTTCAGTGATTCCCTGTACGATTTTTTCGTCCCCCCTCCTGCATTCTCAACTCTGGAAAAGTCGAGTGTGTGTGTGTGTACGACCCTGTTGAAGAAATACGCTGGTCATACATTTTTTCCCCACATTAAATGCTTCCCAGTTTTTTCGCCTATCGCGCATCGTCGAACCATTTATGGAATTAAGAATTTCTGGGAAAAATCGCAGGTATTCGCGCGGAAGTGCCTGAAAAGTTGGATTTTTCTGTACTGTAATTTTGCATCGGGCTTTTTCGTAATTTTCCCTTACTTTACTTCTAAAGGTGCTAGAAGTGTTGTGATGTTATAACCCCCCTGTGAGAATCACCTGAGGCGTAAGCATCCGTGAAGATGGTGAGTTGTTGTAATTTCGAAATTCTACTCGTGCTTCGCTGACGTAAGATTTTGTCTGGCAGAGCTTCTTCGGCTTCGGCCAAGGTGCCGACATCGACATTATCCTCCATGGCTCGGAAACGCGGAAAATGGCCGAGATCAAGACGGAGGACGGCAAGAAAGAGAGACACTACCTTTATTACGACGGGGAAAGCGTGGGCGGGAAAGTGAATGTCACTCTCAAGAAACCCGGAACCAAGTTGGAGCACCAAGGCATCAAGATTGAATTCGTCGGTCAAATCGAGCTTTACTACGACAGGTTAGCGTGTGTTGTGTTTAACGTAAAGCTGTGGTTATCCTCTTCTTTCATCCAATGTCCGACGTGATTTTCGGCGATATGAGGGGTTTCCTCATCTGTCAAACAAGTTCGCGCGATTGATTCAGTCGATCTCATCCTTCCTTGTGACGATCGTGGATGGCCCCGATGTGAATTTTGGCCTTTATATCGCTCTCCGCGAAGCAGAAATATCTTTTTCTCATTCACGTTTTCTCTCCGAAATCTGCGAGAGTTTATGTGATAAATTATATTATATTGCGAATTTTGAATTTTAAAATTTCTGATTCGTGCAGGGGCAACCATCACGAGTTCACATCTCTCGTCAAAGAGCTCGCTCGGCCGGGCATCTTGGCCCAAAACACGAGCTTCACGTTCGAGTTCAACCAGGTGGAGAAGCCCTACGAATCCTACACGGGCGGGAATGTGCGACTGCGATACTTTTTGCGGGTGACGATTCTGCGAAGGATCTCGGACATTGTCCGCGAAGTCGACATCATCGTGCACACCTTGTCTTCGTATCCCGAGATCAACTCCAGCATCAAGATGGAGGTCGGCATCGAAGACTGTCTGCATATCGAATTCGAGTACAACAAGTCAAAGTACCACCTCAAGGACGTGATCGTGGGCAAGATTTTCTTCTTGCTCGTCAGGATCAAGATCAAGCACATGGAGATTGCGATTATCAAGCGGGAAACGACGGGTGCTGGGCCCAACACGTTCAACGAGAACGAGACCATAACCAAATACGAAATAATGGATGGTAAATACGCTGTGTGATTCTTTCTGCCAAACCAGTGAAAAATGCAGAAAATGTTGTGTCCTTGTAAAATTTGAAGAAATGATGGGATATACAGGAGCAGAATTTTCAAAGTCGTACTCGCTGCCGTGGAGGAAAATTTTTGCTCTTCATCAAATTAGACTTAAAATTAAACTGGAGAATGCCCGAAATGATCAGATTCCTGTGAGGCGTTCATTTTAACTGATGTTGGGAATGCCTCTGACCTTATTTAATTGAGTACCACTCGTTCTTGAATAAGACGCGCACCAGGGTTTTTCAGTGAAAATTTTTGATGAAAATTGTATCCATGAGAAATACACTCCCCGATTTTCAATGATTCCAAAATTGCAATATTAAAAAAATGAGAACACTCAGTGTTCGGACTTGAGTTGAACCTGAATCCAACTACCATACTTTTCAATTGCTTTCATTACAAGAAGTTTTTCTTTCGAGATTGATGAGAAAATTCCCATTAGAATCAATTGTAATAATCACCTTATGCAACGATTTTAAAAATGTATGCGGCACCCCCTTTACGATGCCCACTCCCTTTTTTCCCCTCTCAGTTTTGAGAAGAAAAAGGTGAATTTGGTACTTTATTAAATGCGGTAATTTCATTTCTCTGGAAATTATATTTCTTCATGTCCGATCTCTTGAGATTCACAGTTAGTTTGTGATGAAGTCGGAACTTTCGCTGCGTTTGTAGCACTTTTCACACATATTTTACAACTGTAATGCTTTTTATTTTATTTCGGAATGTACGGATTGAATGTTTGAATATTTTATCCCCCTTTTTTTCTTCCTTTCTACTTGCCAGGGGCACCTGTGAGAGGAGAAAGCATTCCGATCCGGTTGTTCTTGGCGGGATACGACTTGAGTCCTTCCATGAGGGACATCAACAAGAAGTTCTCCGTCAAATATTACCTGAATCTCGTGCTGGTGGATGAAGAGGAGAGACGATATTTCAAGCAGCAAGTGAGTATTTTACGCGTTACTTTTCGGGAATATACATACATTACTGTATATTTGTCCTGTCTGGTTTCCCTTAGAGTTAATACCCATAGATATCAAGACATTCAATAAATTTTCTTCATTTTTGGTATTGTGCTTTGGCTTGATCGAAAAAATTGATGTTCATTTAATGGCTAAATACTGTTGTTTTTATGCTGAGACTTGAAAATTTATGAGTTTGGAATCTATGATTTAAATTCTGGCATTCTCTAGGTTGCATATCAGCTCAATATTTTAGGGTGGTCCAAGAAACTTGTCGAGTCTGTTGCATTTGTCGCATGTTTAAAGACGATTACTGTTGCTATTGGCATTTGTCAAATGAAATATGTTGTAACAATTTATAAATTTCAAAGCGAGGTCAATTTCTAAGGAACTGCAACTTCAAATTACCACAATGATCAGAAAAAATCGAAAATCAGATTTAGGATGCTGGTTAATCCAATCCGAGTTATTTTGGCATTCAATTGGGTTTCACTCGGTGTCCCAAAAGGTGAAATTAGGTGAATTTTTTCGGTAAGCGTTAAATTTGACTATTTAGGCATTTGGTTTTTGCAGGATGTACGCTTAAAATTATTTAAAGAAGGAGCGAAGCAGCTTCAAAGATGGTTTCCTATGAAACAAAAAGAAGGCTTTCTTGATGAATCGAGTGTGTTTTTTGCTTTCGTTCGTGGAAGAATTTCCAATGTTGCCTAGGGATGAATGAATTGATTCCTTTTTTTGTGGTATTTTTCGAGGAAATCACTCTGTGGCGGAAAGGCGAGCGAACGCGGCGCCCAATCCAGCAGCAGATGATGACCGCCTCCTTGGCGTCAGTGATGACAAACGCAGCAAATGCTGTTGCTGCTGCTGCTGCTGCTGCTTCTTCAACTACTACTACTCCAACGACGATTGCTACTGCAAATAGCAGTTTAGGTGCCAGTGCTGCCGGAAAGTCGCCCGATCAAGTTGTGGGACAAATGGAACGCAGTGAGACCGAGGAAGAACAAGATGGCGGCGCAGTTGGAACCAGAAGCCATGATTTCCCTGACCCAGCGACACCCGAGTCGCCAGACTTGTCGGCTTCTAACCCAATCCCTGCTTAACTCGAGGAGTCGAATATCCTGCGACGAGGCAGAAGGAGAAAGAAAAAAAAACAAACAAACAAGCGAAAGCAAAAAAAAAAAAAGAAGCTTGTGGGTGTTCTGCAAGTCCTTAGGATTTTTCTCTCTTCATTTTGATGAACAAAATCATCATCACTTATAGACAGACCCACACGATTATTCTCGAAATTTCTATTTTCTTTTTTTTCCCTCCCCCTTTGCGATGCAGCTTTTAGGGTATTATTTTGATGGAGGAAGAAGTGTTCCTTTGTTTGTTTGAATGGTTCTTGGAAATATTTGTACAGTTTATATTTTGGTTTTTTTTTTGAGAATTGGGAGGCCTTTGAGAACATCCATTCATGCATTCATTTCATTTCGTTTCCCCGTCGGTCGGCTTTCAAGCGAGAACATGCAGTACTTTTTTATCATTTACCGCTTCTTGTTGTTTACGCGTATGCATTTGTTTTCCTCCCTTCCCGCGGCTCTTGAAGCGTATTGTGATCACAGAATTATCATTAACCGAGTTTTAGCTGAAAATGCGGAGGATTGCAATGTTAGGGTTGGAGAAGATTGGATTCTTAATCTTGCTGATGGGTTTCAGGATTCACTGAAGGAAAAAAACAAACAAAACAAAAGAATGGTTTATTGTTCGCTGTTTGTCGTGCCATTTTTTTTTCTGTGTCACTATTTCGTCTGGGTCCAGCGTTGAGCGGGTTTTGCTAATAACAAAAATATGTGTTCTTCATGTTTCAGACTGGAGTGAAATCGGCGTGTGATTAGGGTTTCTGAGGCATAGCAAGCCTGAAATTAAATTTCTCGATTCCTAATTTATCGATTTACAAAATTGTCGTGTGAATGCGAGCAAGTGCAGCGTCAACGATTTGAGGATAACCATCTTCTGTCGTCTTCGCAAAATAAATTTATATTTTGTTTCTTTTTTTTTCAAGGCATGTTGGGGGGAAAAACAGAAGAAGCCTGCCGTCGTTGGCTGCTGTCGTTGGAATAATTTTGCGACGTGACCGGACTGCAGAAGATGTCTTTGTAAGCGGACATACCACATTTTTACTCTTTTCTTGTTGTTGTTGCGCAAAAGCGTTGGATTCCAATCATTGAAGCGTCCCAGCGAGGGATTTTCCCTGGCTCCGTAAACGAGTGTCGGAAAGTTTCGTGTCCCTGTCTGCAATGGCGAAATAAGAAGAAAAAGAAGAAGGATTGGACCCGGGTGTGCCAATGGTAACTCTCGTGCGTGTGCGGATGTATACGTGTTTCCGTGAACGAGGAAACATGGCCGTTCGAGTTGCTTGTCGTTGATTCGCACTTTGACCGAGTGAGGGCCAGTAGAAAGAGCTACCATGTCTGCGATGGTTGCTTGTGGTCCGTGACGACGAGGAGCGCGTTTGTCGCCGGAGTGTTTGTGACAGAGGGAAAGACTTGAGTGGACAGTGTGAGCAGGGAGTAGTAGTCGAAGAAAGAAGAAACAGGAGGAAGAGGTAGAGGCGTTTGACTGACGAGGTTCCAAGCCTAGTTTTTTCGAGTCGTGTGCACCAGCCAGTCAGTCAGTCAGTCATGCCAGTGCAGATGAGTCAGTGGACCGAGTTCCTCACTTGCCCAGTGTGTTGCCACGAGTTCAATGCTGCTCCCAGGGCACCCGTGAGTCTCGGCTGTGGACACACTCTGTGCAAGTCGTGTCTGGGCTCTTTGCCCAGGCGTCAGTGTCCCTATGACCAGGCGAGTCTCTTTTCTTTTTCTTTCTCTCTTTCCCTCCCTTGAGAAAAAAATGGAAAAATGCAGAAAAATCAAATCTGTCTCCATGTCTTCAACGAAAAGTCCTCAGGAGTCTCAAAATGTTTTGTAGGATTTAAGGTCAGTTGCTCTTGTGTTCTTTTCAGGCTATGTGTTGTTGTTGCAGCAGTTTTAATCACAAATATAAATGCTATACAGTGAGACTTCCAGATGCAGACATAATTGGTGCATCAACAGTGTCCCTAAGTTGAGTCTCATTTTCCCCATAGACTTACATTGTATAATTTTTATTTGGTGTTTTATGGAAGAAATATTCTTCAGAATCCAGTGAAAAATAAATTGTTTGCCACTTGAATTTGATTCAGTGGATACCTTTTGAACACAATAGGAACATTTGGAGCATTGAATAGTGTACCTCTGCACAGTACATTGTAATGTTGGCATTTGTAAAAATAGCTTTCAAGTCACAAAGAGAGAAAGAAAGTCCCTCTATGCTACAAATAATTTTTAAACTTAGCTGAATGGATTGGAAAATGATGGGAGAAATACCAAAGAATTTTTTGTGTATTGATCTGAGGGTTGGAAATGTCTGTCTCCTTCAATTAAGCCTGATAGAAGTTAATTTTCCTTAAATGTATTGCCAATTTTATCATGCAATGTCCACCTGTTGAGTTAGTGTATGTGTGTTGGGCCTTTTTTATTGAAAAATTAATGTCCCTATGTCGAATTGTCTGCATGTTGATTCAACCACATGTGGGGGTCTCACTGTATGTCTCATATGAAGACAAAAAACACCAAAATTCCGTTACAATGAATCTCGTTATTACAAATTTTTGTCAGTTGCAGTGTTCTTACAAACAATTTTTCACTGATAATCTGAGCATGACAAATTTGTTTGTCTTGATTACATGTGTATGGGCCATGAGAGTTTTTGATGATTGCCGCAACAAATTGGGAAAATCCAACTTGTACATCATTGAAAATCATAAAAAATATAAATCCTAATCTCTATCTGCAGGAAATTTAGCATAATTGCAGAAAATATGAACTTGATGATCTTTCTCAGAATTCATGTAGCATTAATTTAGAATTTAGAAAGGGCAATTGCTTTCAACTAAACAGTATGTTTGAAAGAATATTTTTACTGTGCTGCTGTATTTCAGGGAACATAAGAATTCTAATGAATACATTCTCTTCCTACACATGTACTTTTTGTTTGTTTCAGTGTATATTTCAGTAAGATCACTGCATTTTGGAGAAGTTTAAGGCCAGGTCTAAATAAGATAATCGTACAGTATTTAAAATATTTTTCTTTACTTTTGGATTAGTTCATTAAACAATTATGAAGATTCTTCAATTATCTGTTGGGGAAAACACTCAGAAGCATTTGCAGTTTTGCCTACTTTCTGCACAATTTTATTTTTAATTGACACAAGAATCACAAATTTTAATACAGAAAGATTTTTTGCAGGCCCCTAGGACTTTGTTGTGACAAGCTTAAATTGATGATCAGCTGTAATTGTTAGCACTGTGGCAGTTTGTACTGCATGACTTTGGTACTGAATTGTACTGTAGTTTGTGCTTTTGACCCTTGTGTTGTGTGAATGAGATATTTTTCACTTGGTTTTTTTTTTAGCTTGTGACTAGTTCCTTGCAACAATTCTTGAGCATGTAAGGTTAACAAAACAATTTTATACAGTAATTGTATCGCGCGCAAAAAAAAATTTAAAAATGAAACGAAAATTGTTTCCCCCTTCAGACAATTGGGTCAATCGGTGCTTTTTGTTTTACATTTTTCCTTGCGAGAAGCAAATTTAGATCGCCTCAGGGTACTGTATGATGAAAATGAAATGATGACTTGGTGTGTCATCTATTCACATTCGAAACAATTTGTCAAATATTGTAGTGGACTTTATCGAATGAATGGAATATAGGGTATTTCTTCCTGCGCAGTAACTTCTTGGACACCATTTTATTGAATGCCATGGCGCAAGTAAAACATGGGTCGTGAATTTCTGTGGAAATTTATTTTAGTTGGTTTCTTCCAAATTTGGATGATCCCGGCTCTTGTTTTTTTTTCCTCTTCTCAGGGAATGTCTCACCAGGGCCAGTAAACCTGCGCAGGAGGGAATTCACTTCCTGTTGAACTCTGGCCCTTGTCCTTGACCCTCCCCCATCTAGAAATGACATCCCGTTGGTTGTGATGGAGATTCCCCAGCTATCGTCGTTTTAATTACTGTATATCCAATTAAAGACGACGGCCGGGCAGGAGGAATATTTTTCAATTCTGAACCACCGCGATGAAAGAAAAATTAGAATTCTGTGTACCTTTTCTTGTACAGTATACTGTATGAGTGCAAGCATTCCGAGTTTATAATTTTTAATTATGGGATTTGTTGTGTTTGAGCGCTCTTATGAGTGTGTTTTCTTTGGATCTGGGAAAATTTGAGGCAGAAACATTTTGACCCAGGAGCTATTTGAGGCAAAACTATTTTGAGACAAAGACTAGAGGATACACTGCGAAACATTTTGAGACAGGGTATATTTAAGACATTTTGAAACTTTTTGAGGCAAACAGGGACTATTGTGAGACATGGATGAATAAAGGCAGGAATTTTGAGAGTTGTATTTATATACTGTACAAGAAAAGCCCCATTAAATAAGTTTTGAAAGCAGATTGGCTGGTGCAATTATAAATTGTTTTTTATTGCTGTAGAAGCCACATTTTCTTTTTCTGAGAGGGACAAGGGATTCACATTCATATCTTCTCCACATTTCACTCTCTTGACAATTA